CAAAACACACGGCATTCACGTACCTGATGGAAACCGTTCATATTCTCCAAATTTAACAACTGTTATTGAGTGGAGCATTATGGGTAATTAAATTTTTTCTTCCTCTTTGTGCTTACCTGTGTTTTACAAACTTACCATTATTTTTATAAAATAGAAAAAGCAATTTTAAAAACTTGGCCCAGAGTTGTCAGATGTTTCCGCAGACAGGAGATGCACTGCAGGGTTCAGAGTCAGTCTCACTGCTGGGAACCTCAGAGGACACGCGGGTCCACCGGAAACTCACCCCGGGGCTTCTGCCCTCCTTGCAACAAGACTTCAGTGCAAACAAATAATGCTCAGACCTGCACTGATGGCTGGACTGATTTGTAATTCAGAGCCGTCGGAGAGGGGAGCCACGTCACCCACGGCCCCTCCCAAAAAGGCCCATGATTTGTGAGCCCAGTTCATTTAACTTCTACACATTGTTTCCTGGGGTAAAAGTGAGTTTAACAGGCAGCAGTAGCAGATGTGGTTGAAAAAGGAATTCACAGTTTGAGCTGTCCAGCTGACAGTGTTCCCTGCCTCCCGGCAGATTTCCCAGCCCTAAGGGCCAAGGAAGGTGCTGCCTGTGGTCCTGGAAGGAGAGGCCTTGTTCAGGAGGCCCTTCTCCCCACAGCAGCTCTGCAGAGGCCATGACTTCCCTGACTGGGGCCACCGGCAGCGGCACCCAGCCACCAGGAGGCAGGGCGTCCAGCCTGGTCCAGGAGCCACAGGCGGCACTGCCTGCTCCCCTCTATGTGTGGCTCCAGGGACTCACAGCTGAAACCCTGAGGGAACAGAAGGGGAGTTTTCCTGGCTTTTGGACAAATGGGATCCCTGAGACTGGACCAGGAGCTTCCCAGCCCAGACCTGGCCACACCTTGCACACTCAGAGCCAGTGCACAGTTCAGTGCCAGCACGTGTGGAAGCCATTGGAAGCTCAGTTCAGGTCCTGTGCTCCTTTGTGTTTCCTGGAAAGTCTGGAGTGAGAGGCATCTATTTTGAGTACCAAACGGGAGTTCCCTGGCATCCCTCAGAAGCACAGGGCTTGTCTGCGCCCTTCCCTGGGGGCCCAGGAACAAGAAGGTGCGTCCAGAGGGAGGCCAGTCCTCACCATTGCTTCCCGCCTCGTGCCAGATGCATCCACGCTACTCCTGCTGCATGTGTTTGGGGACACACAGCTGTTGGCTAGACTGAATCAAGGCAGCAGCTCTAGAACAAAATAGCTTCGTTCCTCTGTTTCTTGGAGTTCTTTTGCTGTTTCTTAAATATTCACTTCTGGAGACTGAAGGTTGTAAAGGTGCTCTGCTGCCCAACCTGAGCTCTGGGCACCACTTGCCTGCAGGGCTCACCTTGGTGGTATTTTACCCAGGGTTTGACTCAAGCCCAGGGTTTAACCCCTGGACGTTGTGGCCTCTCTCTCTCTCAGAGCCCCCGGGGATGAGCAGGGCTTTATCAGTGGCCTGCGTCGGGGGCTTTTGTCTGTGTCCTCATCTGACTTCATTCTCTTTGTTTCCTCAGGGTTCCCGTAGGAGGGGCTGGGCTACCCCGGAATAATGTGGTCGGAGGGTCTCCACTGGCCAAAGGGATGGCAACAACCCTCCACCCATGCGGTGGGGGTCTGAGCAGCCCGGCCACAGTCCAACACCAGGTCCAGCACCAAGAAGCCTCTCCCCCGATGGGCAGTTGTCTGCGGCACTCAGCCCAGCCGGCGGCCAGCCAAGCCCGGAGCGCCGCCCCCACCGGTACGTAGGAGGCTCACGGGAGCCTCATTCTGCTGGAAAATTTGAGGAGGGGGTCCCAGGGGCACAAATCTCAAGTGTCCTTTTGGCCCAGGTCTCGAGCAATCCACAGAGGGGTCATTGTAGTCATGAGCTTCTGCTAGTGTGGAGGTGTCCTGACTCACCACACAGCCTGTCCTGGCAGCTGGAATGGATGAGACCTTCACAGATATGTACATACCTTGTGTAGCGAGAGGACTGTGTGGTTACCTTGGCACCTCTGGACGCCCCATGAGCGACTGTGGGTCAGCTGCATCTGTGTGCCAGGCACTAAGGGGTCTCCCAGTTAGGCAGTGCCCCCAGGACAGAGCTGGTAACAAGACACAAAGTCCCTTTATGAAATGCTTTGAGGCTGGAAGGAGTGATGGCTGTTCACCGTCCTGGAACTTCGCCAGCAGCCAGACTGACCGGAAGGGAGGAGAGGACGCTGCAGCTGGCCTTACTCTTTCTTCAGAGAATGTCACTGGAGTACTCAACGCATGGAGCCAAAAATGTAATTGCAATTTGTTACTGACGATACGGGGGTTGAACTCTCGTCCAGGCCGTGGGGACCCTCAGGGGATTCTGAATAAGAGGGCAAGATTTTCCTGCACATCGTCGGGCACCATCAGGAGGAAGAGCTGGCTTGGGGACTGGGGAGGTGTTGCCGTCCAGCTGAAAGGTGGCAGTAGGCCTGAACACAGCAATGGGGTTGCAGAATTGGGGCAAAATGATGACGTATCAGGAGGCACATGGGCTGGGATGTGGAGGTGGGCTGGTGGAGGTGCTCGGAGGAGCAGGGGCCCAGTCTGCAGTTTGCAGATGTCTGGACTGGCTGCCCTGGAGAATGATAAGGCACCCCTTGCCAAGAGGAAACAGAGGGGCTGGTTCTTGGGGAAGGCAGTGGCTTGTGGCTTTGAGAGGTGTTGTGGGCTCTAGTCCACTGCGGCCCTGGCTCATTTGGCTCCTTATGTGGAGCTCCCATCCGTGTGCAAATCCCACCTCACCGCAGTGGAGGCAGACATGCTGGCCCACCACCTGGCCTGGACTCTGGACCGACTCTGGAATGTGACTTCCATTCAGAAGACGAAACATGAGGGGCCCATGGATCCCTTTCAGGGTGAAGGTGGTGATAAAAGCATCCAGCTGTTCAGGGGAGGAGGCTGGCCTTCGGGGGCCCAGTGCCCTGGCATCCGTGGGAGTTGGGTGGCCTTCTGGTGCCTGCGCCCAGCCTCATGCTGAGTGCTGTCCCCTCCAGCAGTGGTGGGGTCTGTTCCATGGAATCCTCAGGGGAGGGCTTGGCACTGGCCTGGTGTAGGGCCTCCAAAGCGGACCTGCCGGCACAGGGACTCTGCGCGCCTGCAGTCTTTGTGTTCAGATTGTGTACGTAGACTTCCGTTAGTGAAAAGTGAGGTCTGATTTTGTAGCTGTGGCCTATGGGGCTGTGGGAAGAAGCAGGAGTCTCTGTACTGAAAGAGTCTGCGGCAACCAGACCTCTTGCCCCAACCGTGACCTTCCAACCAGCTGTGCCTTAGAGCATCTGAGGGTGTTCACTGGTAGTCTCTGGCTAGGGGTGCAGCCACTGAGTACCTGGTGACCACAGGACCCCACACAGAGCCCCCAACTGCTGTACTGTGACCAGGTCCAAAGGGCACCAGGGTACTGATCTCCTTGGCCCTCGGAGCACCTGGGCAACTGAAGGCCCAGGCCAGGTCCCTTCTGCTTATAAACTTCCTGTCCATTTACCCCAGGCTGCCATGAACGTTTCTCTGTGCTCCACGATGGAGAGGTCAGCGGGCTTGCCCCTCACAGTGTGCACGCCCAGCACGGCCGCCCTGGGCCTGCACCAGATACCCTGCAATGGCCTTTCCATGCTGTGCCAGGCTGGCGACTCCCCAGTTCAAAGACAAAACATGACCTGCCTGTCTCATCTGTGGCCTGGAGTAACAGCAGAATCAAAGAACTGGCACGGCCAGGACAGAACGGCATTGCATCTCTGTCCTCAGTCACCATGGTAACCACCACAGGGAGACAGGCGTGCTCCCCCATCTATTTAATGTCATGTGTGGGAACAGTGAGGCGCAGGAGGGTGTGACGGCTTCCCCAGTGCGTTCCAGCCCTGGCTTGTCCCCACATTATTGCTGCTACAGCCAGGCTACCAGATGTCCCCTGTCACATCAGTAAATTAAACTCATGGAGTTACCCCGGCATCTTCCTCTTCACTGTGCTTCTTGAGAGAGAACGTACCGCTGACAGCACAGATCATGGACCGCTCCCGGCAGTGATTGCCCGTCTCTGCAGACCCCAAGCCAGGCCCCTGAGAGGCCTTCGTCAGTGTTCTCAGCCGAGCTGAGATCAGGCAATTGGACGAAGGCATCCACCCCGTGGCCAAGAGCCCTGAACAGCCATTGGTTCCTCTGCACAGAGCCCTGGAGGAGAGCTGCGTATGCTACTCTGCCAGGCTCTGGAGATGCAGAGAACCAGAGACCTGTTTCTGCCCCACCTCAGAGAGAAGGACAAGGGAGCAATGCTTATGGTGGAAGTGGGAAAGCCCTGTGGTAGAGGCCTGCAAGGGGATGTCTGATGGCAATAAAGAAGCACTAGGCATGCAAAGGAGTGGGAAATATGACCCACAAGATGAGTTCGATCAACCAGTCGACACTGACCAGAACCTGCACAGATGTTGGAATTGGTGGACAGAGGCATTAAAACAAATGTTGTAATAGCATTTCATATGCTCCTAAAGTTAAGTAGAAACATGGAAGCTATTTTAAAGTTCCAAATCAAATTTCTAAAAATAACTACACTGTGAGATCAATATACAGTGGATGGAATTAATGGCAGATTAGACATTGCTGAAGAAAATATTAGTGAACTTGAAGATATAACAGTGGAAACTATGAAAAAGTGAAACAAAGATAAAAGAGAATTTTTTAAAATTACCAGACCATCAGTGAGCAATGGGGCAACTTAAAGTAGCTTATTGTATTTGTAACTGGAGTCCCCAAAGTAGAGGACAAAAGGGTGAGAGACAAAAATTATTTTAAGAAACAATGACCAAAAGTGTTCTAAACTTAATGAAAACTATAACCTCATAGATCAGTGACAGTTGGTGAGTCCCAAATGCAAGGAACATAGAGAAAACTACACCAAGGCAAATTATGATCAAATTGTTCAAACTCTGTGTTGACGTAAACCTTAAAAGTAGCAAAAGAAAGGGGGAGGGGTATAGCTCAAGTGGTAGAGCGCATGCTCAGCACCCAAGAGGTCAGGGGTTCAACCCCCAGTACCTCCTCCAAACGGAAATCAGTGAAGGAACCTAATTACCTCCCCTTCATAAAAGTAGCAAGAGAAAAAAGATCCATAAAGTAGGAAAGGAATAAGGGTGACAGTAGATTTCTCATCAGAAACACTGCAAGTGAGAAGACAGTGGGAAACTAAAAGAGTCCTGAAGGAATCCGAATCTGTCAAGTTAGGATTCTAAACCCACCAAAAATATTTTTATAAATGAAAGCAAAATAGAGTCATTCAGACGTAGCAAAGTGAAAAGATTTCATCACTGATAGACCCACACTATGAAAATTGTCAAATAATATTCTTTAGGAAGGAGGGAAATGATACTAGTTGGAAATGGGAATCTATACAGAGGAATGAGAAGCACTAGAAATGATAACTACATGGATAAATATATAAGGTTTTTTCTTACTATTTAAATACCTTTAAAATATAACTCTTTAAACAGAAAGAAAATCAGTGAAGTTCGGGATTAAAAATCTATGTAAAAGTAAAGTGTGTGATGGCAAAAGCACAAAGCCTGGGAGGAGACACAGAAGCACCATGTACGTTGTCAGGAGTCTTGAGTCTGTGTGTTGTGTGTGAGGAATTGTCAGTAGATGATGATAAAGATGTGAGCAGCCACTAAATGTCAGAGTTACAGCTAACAAGCTAACAGAGAAGATGAAACAGAATCACAGAAACTTCCATTAATCCAAAAGATGTAAAAAGGAGGGGACAGAACAAAGAATACATGGGTCAGATAGAAAACTTGTAGTAAAATGTAGGTTTAAACCTAATATAAAAATCATACATTATGGGGGGTAGGAAGGGACAGACTGGGATTTCAAAATGTAGAATAGATAAACAAAGATTATACTGTATAGCACAGGGAAATATATACAAGATCTTGTGGTAGCTCACAGCGAAAAAAAATGTGACAATGAATATATGTATGCTCGTGTATAACTGAAAAATTGTGCTCTACACTGGAATTTGACACAACATTGTAAAATGACTATAACTCAATAAAAAAAAAGTTTAAAAAATCACATTAAACATAAACGGTCTAAATAGCATCAAGTAGAATGCAGAGATTATTAAAAAAATTAAAAATAAAAAATAAAAAGACGAAACTCAACCATATGCTGTAAATGAAAACAGACTTTAATATATTAAATATAAATCTAAAAAATGAGTTAAAATTGAAAGAATGGAACAAGATACACACTCGATCGCATTAGTCACAGGTGTCATGTTCTGTAAGGCTTCCATGGACACCCGAGTTAGTGAACCCTGAACTGTGTGTGAGATGTGTGTGCGTCTCACATAGGTTGTCATCCCAAATACTGAAAACAACTCATGCTGGTAGATTCTGTTTTCTTTATTTTACAAAAGAGGAAATGAGGTGCAGAGGTATTTAAGTGACTTGCCTCTGACAGAGTCAGGATCCAGATTGCTTCAGAATTGATAAGCCTAGGCAGGTGGGTAAGGAACAAAGAAAGAATACACCAGTTATCAATACCATGAACAATAAAAGTGACATCACTTCAGATTCTACACAATAGTAAGGGATTATTATAAAAAATCTTAATGCTAACAAACTCAATTAGACAGAATGGATACACTTCTTGAAAGACACAAATTGATAACTTAAGATGAACTAAATAACCTGGATAGGACTATATTTATTAAAGGAATTGAATTAGTTTTAAACCTTTCACAAAGAAAACTCCAGGCCCAAGCAGCTTCATTGATGAATTGTACCTGTTGGTGAAGGAAGAAGTTATAACAGTTCTATGGAAATTCTTCCAGAAAATTGAAAAGAAGGGAGAATGCTCCCTAACTCTTTCTGTGAAGCTGGGATTACCATCATAACAAAACACCACTTATACATTAAAAAAGAAAACGACAGACCGATATCACTCGAAACATGGAGTTAAAAATTCTAAGCAACATTTTTGCAAATCAAATCTAGCAGTAAATTAAAAGAATGATAACAACAGTCAAGTAGGGTTTATCCCAGGGACTTAAGTTTGTTTAATGTTTGACAATATAATTCAAAAACAAACTAAAAAATAAACATAATATGACATTTCAATGCATGTGGGAAAACTTTTGACAAAATCCAACATAAATTAACATCAGACAGAGTCCCGCAGGGCATGTGCGTCCTCTGCTTACGCAGGCTTACTTGGGGCTGAGGCCGCTGCTCTGCTGAAGCCACGAGTCCGCACGTGCCAGCGGCGGGCGGCGAGGACAGGGTGCCCTGCAGCTTCTCTGCCGCGGTGACGCGCAGCAATGGCATCTGCACACCGGATGCCGGGGGACCCGCGATATGACGTGGTGTCGCTGCCACCGCCCGTGTCCTCCCTCCGGGTCAGGCCACCAGGCTGCTGTCACTGCTTCTCTGCTGGGCTCACTGGCTCCCATCCGTAATTCTTGAGAATTGCTCACACAGGCAGGAGCGGGCTCGTTTGGGCTCGGAGCTGTATTTAGAGGGAGCTCTGTCTTCCAGATGCCAGGCTCCACCCGGGCTGGGCTCCAGACCCCTACGTCTTCAGGGGGCATTTTGCTGGCAGCGAGGCTGGGTCCCTTGTCGGGAGGCTCCTGGTCTGTAAATCCAGATGCTGCCCTTCGATGTGCGGGGGCGGGAGCACCCGAGGGGTGTGAAGTGGGGGAGGCCGCCCGGCGTGGAGGCCGCTCACATGACCGTCAGGCTCCGGGTGTGAGACCCAGGCTGGGCCGGCACACGCCAATCGAGCCTGACCAGAGCCGTGCTGTCCACAGAGGTTACCCTCCATGAAGTGGTGCTCAGCCATCAGGACATCTCCAGGCTTCTTCAAAGATCCTCCACAGGCTTCAGGTCTGTGAACGGTCTGACAGGGTTTGTGCAAACCTTCTGTCTGTATTGGTTCAACGCAGCAGAGAACACCAGTTCGAAGACTATAGAAAACTAGGAACTGCCACATTCATGGCAACCTCAGAAATGATGTCCAACCAAGCTTCTGGTGGGGGCAGTTTTGTGCAGGGGCCAGGGTAGGGTGGGCTGCTCGGCCTCACCCTCCAGCCTGGTCTGCAGACTAACCTCCCATCCTGCTCTCTCCATCCCTGTGCTCCAGCTGCCCACCCAGCCCAGACTCAGGACCGGCCGACCGCCACCGTGTCACCCTTGCGTACCCAGAGCTCCCCATCCCGCCTGCCCACCACCGGCCTCAGGCCCCCTTCCATGGGATCCCCGCAGCACAGCCACCAGCCCGTGATGCAGATGGCCATCGGGGCCCCGGGCCCCCGGACTGCCGTCCAGCTCACGTCAGCAGCCTCGGCCATCACTCCCCCCAACATCAGCGCCGCCAACCTCAGCGGGGAGGTTGGAGGGGGCCCCATCAGTGGCCCGTCCACACCCAGCCCCACCAACACGGGAGGCAGACCAGACGAGAGGAGGAACGAGAAGGTGAGTGGCTCCACTGGGCGAGCCCTGGCCCCGGCCCCGGAGGTGGTGCCTCTTTGGCACCAGACACCAATCACATTTCATACAATTGAGGCTGGAATGTGGGCACCAGCACAGGGCACAGAGGGAGGCCGAAGCAGCAAGCACCTGTCCTTACAGTGGCATTCAGGCCGCAGGTGCCGGCAGGGCTGCCCCGAACCCAGCGACAGTTTTCACACAGAGTGCCCCTCTTCAGGATGCTGTAGTCCCTTCTGTTGGAAAACCATTGTCAAACACTCCTTGTGCTAGGATTAGACACTTACTTTGCCGTGTGTCAGGATATTTAATAATAAGCCTATGGGTCTGCTCACATGCAGTGTGAGCAGCGCCTCCTCCCTCTGAAGTGCTGCCCTGTGCAGCACACAACCTGCTCAGCCGCCGCGGGCGGCCTGCTTTCCGGGGAGAAGCCAGAGGAGGACGGCAGCCTCGCAGCTGGTGTGCACAGCACTTCCCGCGGTTCTTCCGCAGGGAGGGAAGGTGGGCTCTTTGCACGAAACGAATCTGGTCCAGTGAGCTGGACCCAGTTGCCACCAGCCATACATCAGAGGAGCCAGGGTGAGGGTCCAGATTTCTAAGTCAGTGCTGTCTGCTACAACCGTAACTCAAGCCATGTATGTAATTTAGAATCTCCCAATAGCCATGTTTTTAAAAGTTAAAGCAATTTGTAAGTAAAAGGTGAAGTTCATTCTAATGGTGTAATCTACTAGACCCAGTATCCACACAAGTGGGGTCTGAATTTTAAAATGATGAGCTGTTTCACCTTCTTGGTCTTTGAAGGCCAGTGAGCTGGGTCCAGTCGTCAGGCCACCAGGCTGCCCAGGCTGTGCCACGGTCTTTCTCGGCTCATTCTCCTGCTCCCTTGGCTTTGCCACCATCCGTGGACCTTCTCAAACCTTTCGATGTAAAGCCAGTCTTTGATGAGAGTGTGCCCCCTCCTGCCCGTGGGGACGGCACCCAGTCTGGTATGGACCACTCCCAAGGGTTGCCCACCCCTCACACCAGCCTTCTCGGGCCCAGGTGCCTCACAGAGATGCTCGGTCTCCTCACCGTGTTCTCCTGCGACTGGCAGGCACCTGAGCGTCAAGTGACCCCTTGCTCCACGTTTTGCATCCACGTCTGCTTGAAGGTCACGTGGCTGTGGTCTGTCCCTTCCACCTGCAGCCTGTCTCCCCCAGAGCCGGAGGAGGGCATGGGGCCCCACCCTCTCACTTGCTGCACATCCTTCCTGGAGGACAGGGTCCCTTGGGCCTCGAGGCTGCTGAGCAGAAACTAGGGCGGACTTGGAGGGGAGCTGGGTGCCTCTGTGAGCATTCCTGGTTCTTGGCCCCTAGTTCCCTCTGTCCAGTGCGGGAGGCAGGTTGGGCTCCTGTCTATGGGGCCAGGCGTGCAGGGGCCTCGTGGAGAGCAATACCCTGCCTCCCGCCCATGGGTGTCGCTGGGCCAGCTCTCACCACTCCTGCCCAGGAGACTCTCGGGGCCTCCTGCTTCTGCTCGAGGTTCACGCTCTGCTCACAGCTCTCCCGCATCATGAGGAACGGCCGAGTCCATGGGGCACCTGGAGGCCCCTCCGGAGGACGCTGCAGACGAGTTATCTTCTCCCGGTTGGAGGGCTCCCCGGTTGGCCCAGGGGCAGGGCGCACAGTGGGGTGGGGGTGCGGTTCGTGCTGCGCTCCCAGGCGGGCGGCGAAGGGGACCTGGTGGGACAGAGTGGGAGTGTGTCCACAGGTGCAGCAACGATGGTCAGCGTCAGAGCCGGGAGAGAAGTGTGTCATCCGCGTGGCTTTCATTTCTCACCTGGAGAACAAAGCAGGAACAGCACTGGTCGGAAAGGACGCCTGTTGGTGTTTCCCTTCCGCACCCCAGCTGACGGTTTCCTGATTTAGAGCAAAGCGCAACGCGCCGCAGCTCCGTTTGTAGCAGAAGGGCCAGGCGGTGGCGTCGGAGCAAGCCTGGTGGCGGAGGTGTGCCTAGCGGGGCCCTCGGCCGACCCTGTTCCGCCGTGACCAGAGCCAGGCCGACTTCACCAACTGTGAGAACTCAGCCGTCTGCTTCCGACCTGTTTCTGGGTAACCCCGTTGTGGGTGTGCCCATGTTTAATTATGGCAAATGGACTTTTTTACAGCAGTTGCCGGTATTCTCCAGGCTGTTTCTGTCACTGGATTTTTCCTCAGAAAAAGACAGTGAGCTCTCCGCCACTGTCACAGAGACCCTGACCTCAGCGCCTGTTTTCCTAGCAGCTCCGCTGAAGTTCGGTCCAGTCCTTCAGCACGTGCACTGGAGGGGAGCCTCAGCTGCTGGGGGTGTGGGGAAGACCCCAGGGTGCGGAGACGTGGAGGTCACGTCTTTGGAAGGCGCAGCAGGTGGGAGTCACTGGTGGTCCTCCCATCGAAGGACTTGGACCTAGTGCTTCTGAAGGAAGGGCACGGCTTTTGGAGTCATCTTGTGGCAGCTATGAATAGCAGAGTGGGAACCAGATCTTGGAAGCCTTTTAAGAAGATGCTCTGCAGGGTGTTAAGTTAACCCTTCTGCACTTAAAAATCTAGTCTGTGCTTGACGCAACCACCAGACTTCACATGTCCCACCCACCAGTGGCTGCTTCCTGCTTCTGAGGCCTCGTGCACACATCACCAGGTGGTCGGGTGACTCCAGGGGAAAGTCGTCAGAAAGGGGACCCCTGAGCCCCCAGGAAGGCAGACACAGCTCGTGCCCCCGGCAGCCGTAAGCACCTGACCCTAGAGCCTCCCCAGCCAACCAGTTAGAAGTCACACCCCAACTTGCACGTCTGGTCATGGCAGCAGCAGGTGCCAGGAGACAGAGCGCTGGGCACTGGGCCGACAGTGAGAAGGGGACCTGGACCGGACAACAGGCCTGAGGACAGGAGCCGAGGCAGGGAAGGTGGGGGCCAGGCCTGGGCGAGGACGTCTGAGGTACCCGTCTTCCACTCCAAGGCCGACCCTCTGCTGCAGCCTGGCCCTGGGCAGTGCCCTCCTCAGTGCCAACATGCTGAGAGTCTTCCTTGTGTGTGAAATGACCCGTCCTGAGTCACCAAACCAACATGTGTGTAGACGGAATAGGACACGTGGCAGGAGGGCAGCAGGCCCAGCACCAGGAGGGCCGGCATATCGGGGGGAATCTGTTGTTATTTTGTGCCCTGTCCTGATGTAAGACTCATTTCAAAGAGTCTCAGAGCCCGGCTGGCAGACCCTGGAAGGTGCCTCACGTGTAGAAGGCATCGGTGATACCTGTCAACTAACAAGAGCTGGAAGAACTTCTGCCAGGGAAGCCTCACTCCGTGACTTCTGAGAAATGCTTTACTTTACGGGCCGGGAGAAAATAAACTTTCTGCTCATGGATGAGCTAGTTTCCGTTTCACAAAATGAGAGAATATTGGAACTGGAAAGAGCCTCTAAAGATGTTTTCAGCAAACTCTTCATTTTTGATGATGCTCCGAGGCTCAGAGATGCCTGGAGACTTGCCTGGGGTCACACAGCACGGGCAGTGGAACCAGCCTGTGGGCTCTGGTCTTCGGGCTGTCTGGTCTCCAGTGTGCTGACTCAGTCATGGTATATAGTTCTTTTTAAACATTGTCGAATCCTATTTGCTAATATTTTGTTCTGGATTTTTGCACTTACAATCATGAGGTGTTGATCTGTAGTTTTTTTGTCATTTGGGGGTCTGGTTTTGGTGTTAGGATGATGCTGGCCTCATAGAATGAATTAGGGAACATTCCTTCTGTGTCCATCTTCTGTAAGTGATTGTAGAGAACTGGCATAATTTTTCCTCAAGTGTTTGCTGGAACTCACCCGCAAACCCATCTGGGCTGCTGCTTTGGAAGGTTATTAACTGTTGACTGAGTTTCTTTAATAGATACAGCCCTATTTACACTGCCTGCTAGTTCTTGTGCAGGTTTTGGCACACTGTATTTTTTAAGGAATTGGTCCATTTCATGCACCTCATCAAATCTGTGAGCATAAAATAATTGACAGCATTTCCCTATCGGCCTCCATGCTGTGTAGGACCTGTGCTGATGCCCCTCTTTCATTTGACATCGTAACTCTCTCTCTTTTCCTTCTCAGTTTGCTCACCTGGAGGCTGATCAACTTCATTGGTCTTTTTAAAGAACCAGCTTTTGGTTTCTTTGATTCTTCTCTACTGATTTCCTGTTGTCAATGTTATTGATTTCTGTTCTAATTTTTATTATTTCTCTTCTACTTTGAGTTTAATTTGTTCTTCTTTTCTAGTTTCTTAAGGTGGAAGCTTAGATGATTAATTTTACATCTTTCTCCTGATATATATGCACCCAGTGCTGTAAATTTCCCGCAGAACACTGCTTTCACCGACTCCCGCAGATTTTTGATAAGTTATACTTTAATGTTCATTTAGCTCAGAAGTATTGAAGAATTCCCTTGAGATTGCTTCTCTGGCTCACGTGCCATTTACGATTGTGTTGGTTACCCTCCAGGTGTTTTGGAACTTTCTGTTAGTGATTTCTAGTTTAATTTCACTGTGACCTGAAAGCTGACGTTGTATAATTTTTATTTTAAATTTGTTAGGGTGTGTTTTATGGCCCAGAATGTGGTCTGTCTGGGTGATGTTCGTGTGAGCTGAGAAGAATGTGTGTTCTGCTGTTGCTGGAGGAAGTGGTCTGTAGCTGCCAGTTAGTCCAGCTGATTCAGGGTGTTGCTGAGTTCGGGTACGTCCTGGCTGGCTCTCTGCAGCTGGACCTGCTGGTCACTGACAGAGGGTGCTGATGTCTCCAACTGCAGACTTTCAAAACCTAGATCAGACAAATGCACATCACAGAACAGTCCTCAAGCACTGGAGCTCCCAGTGCCCAACAGACATTTATCCCAGAACTGCGGTCCCCAGGGCAGAGGGTGTGGGACCCCGGGCTCTCCCTGTGGCAGTGGGTACAGGCACGCTGTCTGGCTATTCTTCCCAGGCAGGAGGAAGGGGTTGGGTTGTGAGTCTGATGGTCGTGGGTCAGGCTGGTTGAGAAAAGAAAGTCCTTGGTTTCTAGGAGTCATTTGGTTATGAAACTGAGCGGACCGTGGATGTTTGCTTGGCAAGGACGTAGCAGAGCCCGGGAGGGGTCGGGGTGGTGTGGGGCTGCTTCCACGATGGATGTGGTACCCTGTTGACAGAAAACGTGGGCATGACCAAACATGGACATGTGGCACTGTGAGGCAGGCCCACACCAGCCTGGGGTGGGATTCAGTTTGAACTGCACTGAACTGAGGGCTCAAACGCATATCATGTCGTCAGCTTTAGAGCCGCGGGCAGCCAGCCCAGGAGACGCACACACAGCCCTCTCTGGGCAGCGTCGGGCCGGGCCCTGTCCTTGGTGCAGAGTGCCACGTTTGCTTCTGTGCTGCCACAGGAAACAGCGGGCCGTGGGTGGCTCTGGAGACCCCGGGTCCCCAGTGCTCGGGGTGGGGCAGACCCTCTGCTCTGACTCATGGCTGGAGAATGAGGCAGCCATCCTAGAGCCAGACCAGCCTGCCCGGCAGGGAGGGCAGCACCCCTTCCCGGGTCGCAGAAGGCAAACTAGCACCTTCCAGGTTTTCTGTGGCTCTCCACCTCCTCATCCCCCAAGTAAACCCATGTAAAGTAGCCACCAGCCCCCAGCCTCCAAGAGCTGCTCCAAGCTCAGCGCCAGAGCCACCAGGTCATGGAGCCAAGGGTGGGAGAGAGTGGGATGGGGAGAGGTGGCCTGGGGTGCAGGCCACCTGCCAGCATCTGCCAGCATCTGCCCAGTTGTGTAGGAAAGCCATGGCCCCGAAAACGTAGCAGGGACCCCACTGCCCACGTCTCACTGGGCTCTCAGAGGTCTCTAGTTCAGTCCTGGTCCCAGGAGAAACCCCAGCAAATGCATCTTCCTTTAACATAAACTTTAGTCTAGATCCACCCTAAAGTGCATTCTCTGCAACCTCTTATTGCCCCTAAAATGGACCAGTGGGCCTTTCCCCACCACCCTCAAGGTGCCATCGCTGATTCTTACCTGCGTCACACAGGACAGGACGACCCCCGGGGGGTGCACCGAATCCCACTGTGTTTGGTAACCGGGTGCTGAAGGCGTTGGCAGGATTCTGTTGTGGTCAGTGGGCACAGGGGAGGTTGTCCAGTGATGACATCCGCCTTTGCTGAAGTTGGTTAGGAGAGTGACCGGTCGCATTTAATGGCGAGACTGACAGGAAATTACCCCCAAGTGTGGGCACCAAACCCGCAGCCACGTTGTCTCACGGTGGAGTGGCCCTCTGCCCTCCCTTCCTTCAGGCAGAAGGGCCCCCACTGGGCCACAGGACCAATGGGCCACAGAACGCTGGCCGGGCCACGTTCCTCAACTGTGCCCAGTGTCCTGGGGGCCTGGAGCATGGAGCCACCATGGCCCTGCTGATGTCTTGTTCTGGGGGCACCCGTCGGGGGATGAGGTGCGGGAGGGGTTGGAGAAGCTCCAGCCCCCGGCAGGGTGGTGGAGGCCCGACATGATGACCTCTTCTGCAGGGATGGGCCGTGGTTTCACCTCGAAACCTCCTAGAGCCAGGTGCCCTCTTCCCCTGGGCGTGTCCCAATCATGTTTCCTACACCTTTATTTCATCCGTAGGAGCAGCGGGGCCGAGGCTCTGACCCAGGGGGGACCGGGCGGTGGGCAAGGTCACTGTGAAGACCTTGCCTGGACAGAGCCCCTTCCCCCCGGACACCAGCTGGTCTCCCCGGGAGCCTCTCCACCCGGGGTCGCACATCCCGCCACTCACCTGGCAGGACCCTGGCAGTGCTGCCACCCGCGATGCAGCTCACTCCCAGAGGCGTCCCTGCCACAGTGCCCAGGCTGTCCAGCGACGACTCGGGCTTTGCTGACCGAAGTGTCCAGGCTTCACCGTCCGGTCTTGGAAGCCCGCAGCCTACCTGTGGTCTGAGAGCCTGGCCAGGCCGGCAGAGCCGCAGGAGTGGCAGTCGGCCCTCGGCTCTGGGGGCTGCAGGCTGTTGAGCGATGGCCCCTCCCCTCCGTTGGGGGTCCCACCACAGGGCCACTGGCAGACTAGAGACCTGTTCACAGGGTTCTTAATTTTATGCACCTGTGTGTGCTTACACACACACATACACACATATACACATACACGTACATACATGTGCACACACATACACATACACGTGTGCATGCACTTACAAACATGCACGTACACATACACACATATATACACACCAGTTCAGTTACTTTCAGCGTTTTCAGCTTCATGATACCATGTGACCACTTGATAGCCTTTATCTTTTGACTGGAGGCCGGGCAGGCTTGTGTGTCTGGTGACCGGTGTGGCTCCCCTTCCAGAGCCCCGGAAGGGCTGGGGACCATCAGAGGCCACCTGAGCCACTCCGGGTTCTCCCATCTGCATCCTCCCCCTGCTGGTCTCAGGTTAGGAGGCTGTCGTCATGGGAACCGCTCCCTATGCAAGGCGGCCTCAGGAGCCCGGCTACTTGGGGGACTGGACCCCTCAGAGCCAGCTGCTTGGCGCCCCCTGGTGGCCAGATGACAGCCGCTCTCCTGAGTGTGCCCCATGCTCAGCTCCGGTGGATGTGGGAATGGGGCTGCTGTGTTCCCTGCACGCCTGCTCCCCTCTGGGCCTGGCGCTTGCCCATACCAGCTGTGGACCGCATTCAGGACGTTGGCTTCTGTCCTTTCTGCCAGTGCCAGTGCTGGGAGTAGAGAAGCACACTGGACTCGTTCCTACTAAAGTGTCTCTGACTTACCTTGAGGATGTGCACACCCCTGTGTACGTGCATTAAGGGGATTTCAGCACCACGACTCCCCTCACAACTCCAGCGGGAAGAGGAGGGGTCACACCAAAACACACCTTTGGTGGCCACTGCAGGCCGGTGGCTACAGTTTCAGACTCCACACGCTGCCTGTCTCATAGCACATCCCCTGCGGCTGATCTCCATCCAACATTAGAAAACCAGCCTCCACGAGAGCCATGAACTGTCCCAGTCCCAGGTGAGCACACTGTTCTAAGAGCACTTCTGTGCGGTCACACTCCCCCCTCACATGTGCACACACAAACCACACAGTGCTGCCAGGGCCTCCCAGTGGAGCTGAGTCCGGGCTACCCGTGCGCCCCGTGAACCCAGGGAGGGGGCTCAGCGTGGAGTAACTACCCTGGGCAGAGGCGGAGCTCTGGGCTGGACGCGGGCCTGCAGCGGGATGGTGTCGTCAGGTCACCCCTCGGGGTCTGGGTCTGTGCGGGCTCGTCTGCACGTTCAGGGAGAGGAGGGAAAGGAGCGGGAAGCTCTCGGTCTTCTGCCTCCTCCTCTGAGCAACTTCGCGGGTGTGTTACAGCTTCCTAATGGGCCCCACTGCCCCTCGCCGACCTCAGGGGCATCCAGGAGCATTAACGCATCTGCCTCCGTTCGTGTGTCTCCCCAGAAGGACAAGAAGAGCGGGCTGCGGAAGCTGCTGGCGGGGGCGTCCACCAGGAGGAAGTCCCGCTCCCCGCCGTCCACCTCCCCGACCCACGACCCCCAGCTGCCAGTGGACGCCGCGCTCCAGGGCGCAGTGGGACCCGACGTGTGCTCACGGTCTCTCCATGGCCGAGCAGGCTCCTGCCCTGTAGAGGCCGAGATGCAGGGGGCCCTGGGGGCGGAGCCGCTGCACAGAAAGGCGGGCTCCTTGGATCTGAGCTTCACGTCCCCCTCCCGGCAGGTGCCCCTCTCCATGGCCGTCCGCCCCGAGCCCAGGCCGCTGCCCAGAGAGAGGTAAGGGGTGGGCCCGGGTGTGGGGGGGCTCTCTGCATCTGCAGCCACTTAGGAGCAGGATGACGGGGGTTTTCTGAGGATTAAGCCGTCCAGGCATCGCTCACTACCCACACCTGCTCGGGTGCAGCGGGAGGGCACTTCACGTTCTGAGCCATTGGGGTCCCAGCAGCTCTTCCTGAGGCCCAGCCACTCTGACACCTCAACGCAAAACTGCCTTCAGGGCTAAAACCTGTGAAATTGCCGGCATTCACCTGCTTTTTACCAAAGCCAGCAGTTTTGTAGAGTTCGGCCTAGAGTTTTCCAGATCAGGAAACAGTCCACAGAGGCCTTGGCAGGAAGGGGCCAGGGACTGGCGTCCAGCTGGGCGGGCTGGGTCCGTAGACAGCTTCAGATATGGACTGACTGCACCATGGGGAGGAATGCTTTCCTTTCTAAGTGACTTTGGCTTGGAAAACTGCTTAAATGGTAAAACTGGGAGCATCTCCTGAGAACACAATCTTGGTGTCAGAATCCTTCCCCTGCTTAGCCACACGGACCAATGTCAGCCCTTCCATGTGTCTCAGGACGTGTGGCCTGAGACACCACACACATTACATGCACACACACCATGTACAGCACAGACACTACAGACCCTCTCTCTCTCAATTCCTCCACTTCCCTCCCAGGGGAGCCTCCACCTTTGGGCGGCTCTCCCACGTCGGAACCTTCCTTATTCTATGGGACCAACCCAGTTGCCTGTGATTTCTGAATGTGGGTCCTGGCCCCTCCTCCAGGTCACAGGCTGGGGGCCCCTGGGAATGACAGATTCCTGCATGTGTCAAGGCTGACCTCTCCAGGTTTGTCTTCCCAGACCTCTCAAATTCGAGGCTCCACAGTCAAAGGTCTTAAAAAACCTTGTTCTAAAAAATCATGGAAGTCTATGATTAGAAAATTCCCATGAAAATTCAGGGAATTACTCCCTTTCTCTGGATACTCTGTCTCATTGGGGGGTTACTGGACCCAGAGACCCTCAGCTCCCTCCTTGTCCCCTGCACTCTGCACAGCTCATTAGTGATCAGAGTTTTAAAACCAGTCTACACCCAGTGTGCCCCAAATGCCATTTCCCCTCCCTCTGCGCAGCCCGAGGATGCCTGTGTCCCGCGGCCTGAAGTTGTGGCAACGGAAATGTCACCTTCAGGCTGGGGCAGCTCCCACAAACACCTGGACTCAGGTCGGTGTATGGAACTGACTTCGCAGCTGTGAGCTGAGTCCTGCTGTGGAGGCCATGCCCTCCCTCACCCCGATATCCGTGGGGTGCCTGCCATAAGGGGGACGGGGTGAAGAGCGGGTGGAGGAGGGGCCCCACTTGGCATGGCTGCAGACCTGCGTGGGCAACCACCTCTCCCTGAGGGTCTGGGGACACGGGAGCCGCTCTGACGGCCCTCAGAAGAGGGACCTATGGGTTGCAGTCCAGGGAGGCAGGTCTCATGTGTGAACTCAGAGCCTTCAGTGGGCAGTGCTCCAGGAGCCCTGTTTCTGGAAGCTGCTAAGGGATCAGGAGACAGTCTTGTCTCCCTGTCCAGCTGGGGTCCAGCCACGCCGCCCTCGCCCTCCCGTGAGTCACAATAAGGCAGCAGGAGGAACACTTGCCGCTTAACAGCCATTTCACCCAGAGGAGTGTCTCCATTTTTTGTAGTCCCAGACTCCACATGTGAAATGGGGACAGTAACGCCTGATGTTATGTGTGCCAAATGCCTAGATTAATACCTGGGCAAGTATGACTGCACCGGGGCCCCAAGAACCCTAACAACATGTGGGACGTCACGTACACAACACTGTGGCGGTGCTGGCGGGGCCTTGGGTGCTGCCCCCGCCCCTCCCTTTTTGATTGACAGGCTTTTCTCTCACATTCCCACCCTCCGTCTGTCTGTCCGTCCATCCGTCCTCACTTCTGCTGGCCTGTCAATTGTTTGGCTCTGTTGGGATTTAGAAATTTCTGGCTTTGACCTATTATGTGTCATGGCAGGTGGATTGATGGCTCCCAAAGACGTCTGTGCCCTAATCTCCCAAACCGAGCGCGAGGTCGCAGGTGCACCTAAAGTAGGGAGGTTACCCTGACCCTGCGGGACAGCCAGAGTCCTCACAGCAAAAAAGGAGCTCACGGTGATGAGGTGTGAGGAGAACTCAGCCCGCTTTCCTAGCTTTGGAGATGGAGGAAGAGGCCTCCAGCCAGGAACCCCAGAAGATTCTAGGGGCTGGAAACGGGGAGGGTACACCGTCTCCCTGGCTTCCACACCTGCACACCCAGCCACACCTCGACTCAGCCCTGGGAGGCAGTGCTGGACATCCGACTTACAGAACTGCTGGCAGAGAAAACGTGCACATTGTGTTGTCACTGTTTGTGGGAGTTCGTTACAGCAGTCGCAGGGACCCGACTCACACGGGGCTTAGCGTTTAGTGTCCAGGTGTGCTCTTACCATTCCCAAGGTCCTGGTGGGACACTGCTGTGATGACCACAGCCTGCTGCCCCCAGGACCCCATCCTCACCTGGGCCAGCAGTGGGCAGGTGCTCTCGAGGGGCCCCTCATGTGACACGGAGGATGCTCCCAACCCACACACATAGTGGCTACAGGCCAGTAGTGGCAATGTCTCTGGATTCTGCGCCTTTGACTCTTGAGTCTTAGCCTGAAGAGTAGCCATGTTCGACACACCTGGGTCACAGCCCCCTTGGGACACTCTCACTGACGTCCAACACGGAGTGGCTGCCATCCTCACTGCTCACTCGGACCAGGGTGTCTATAACGGGGCAGATCAGTGACTGTTGGCTTCTAGGAAGGATCTGGACAGAAACCTTAATGTTCGTCCCGTGGACATCCAGCCCACATCATCCACCAGAGCTCATTAACAGGATGGCTCAGAAACACCAAATTAGCTTTTTCTAGCAAATTACGCTTTAAAGTTGCTTGTTTGACATCTAGCAGTTGAGGCAAAACGTGTTCAGAGTGTGAGAAGTGATCTCACTCTGCGTTTTCTCCTTGGGGAGCTGAAGAAAGGGGACAGGCGTTTGTAGAGGCAGGAAGCCACAGGGTCAGTGCTGGTCCCGGTGGCCACGTGGCCTTGGGACTTGGGGTGTGGGAGCCACAGTCTGTGGGGCCAACTGATCTCACAGGCGCTGCAGTGTCTCTGTGGCCACCTGTCCTCTTCTGGGGAGTGGTCGGTGGGCAGCTGTTTCCACAGATGCTGGGCTGGAGGGAGGCCAGGGCTGTCCTCCCCTTCCTCCCCTCGTCCACACCCTGAAAGCTAGCGTCTGGCACCCAGGGACAGTGGTGGAAACCGGCCCCAGCCTGCACGCTGGCAGCCCCTTACGGCACTAGAAGAGCCGGGACAGCCAGCTTCCCCAGCACCAGGGGCTGCTCACCCACCCAGCCAGGGCGGGGCCCCGCTTCTCTGCCCCACCCCAAGGCTGGGAGCTCCCCAGGGCTGGGTCTGGATCTCCTCCGCGTGAGATCCCCAAGGCCCAGCAGCAGCTCCAGCTGCCCCGAGGCCGTGCTTCCCTGTCCAACCCGGACAGACCGGGCCGGGCCCTGCACAGGTGGCTGAAGGAGAGTGACGCGTTTTCATTCAGTGCCTTGGTTTTCAGATGTCCGCGCAGACTGAAAATCCTCCTTCCCGGGGCCCATCCCCCAGGGTCTGGTCACGTAGGTCCAGGCCCAAGCCTGGGGACATCACTCGAGAAAAGCTGACCCAGGATCTCTTGCTTTATAATGTCCTGGTTGCTCCAGGTCCAGAAAAACCAGGTTGGAGGCGCTGCAGGCAGAACCCCTTGAAGACCCTCGGGACAGCTACCTGCCAGACCAGGGCGACCTCCTTCGGGGGCCCCTGGTGTGGCCATGGCCTGGGGAACAGCCACCTGCCACCTCCCCCAGCCAGCCAGGGGGCAGGACCCCACCAGGCGTGCCAGGGAGGCGGGGAGGGGCAGCCGTCCTCAGACAGGGGGCGCCCAGGCAGCCTGGGGGCGCAGTCTGCATCCTCCCCAAGGATGCCGCCCCAGCTCGTGCGACTCGGGAGGAGGACCGGGCCAGCGCCCTTCTGGGGAGAGGTTCGTGGGCGACGGGAACCCAGCCTTTCCCCGCTTTGCGTCTGCGTGACTTGCGTTGCGTGATTTGCATCTGCGTGACTTGCGTTGCGTGATTTGCGTCTGCGTGACTTGCGTTGCGTGATTTGCGTCTGCGTGACTTGCGTTGTGTGAGATGCGTGGCGTGAACTTGCGTCTGCGTGACTTGCGTCTGCGTGTCGGGAGCCCCCCGGATGTGGTTCGGAGCCCGGGAGTGTGGCGTGGAGCGGAGCGCTCAGGGGTGGAGGGCAGGGGCGCGGGCGGCCGGGCAGGAGGGCACCGGGCAGGAAGGGGTTGTAGGGGGAGGGAGGACCTCTCCACCCCTCTCTGGGATGTGCCCGGGCCCAGCTCCTCGCACGCCGCCCTCGCCCGTAAGGGTGTGAAGGGTGGGGACGCGGCCCTGCGAGGTACCCCCGCCTGGGCAGACGGGCAGCTCTGCAGGTGGCGGCTGACCCCCTACCCCGTCCCAGGTGTTTCAGAGGAAGCGGGTCCCGGGGCGCCCCTACCCCAGGCCGCCCCGGAGCGCTCACCGAGGTCTGTCTCCACAGGTACCGCGTGGTGGTCTCGTACCCGCCCCAGAGCGAGGCGGAGATCGAACTGAAAGAAGGGGACGTGGTTTTCGTGCACAAGAAGCGAGAGGACGGCTGGTACAAGGGGACCCTGCAGAGGAACGGCCGCACCGGCCTCTTCCCCGGCAGCTTCGTGGAGAGCTTCTGAGCTCACGCCTGGCGGGGACCCTGCCTCTGCGTCACTTTAGGGTGGTCTTGAGGGAGCAGATGCCAGGGCTCGTTTGGTCTACAAGGCGGGGCTGGGCGGGGCACTGGGGCCCAGCGAGCCCTGGGTGTCACCTGGGTCCCGTTGCTGCTCGCCCCGTCTATACCTCAGTCACCTGCCACCCAAGGTCTTCACCGGCCGGTCCCGCGGGGCCAGGTGTGAGCAGTGCTTCCTGCCTTGCCACCACTGTCCCCTCTTTCTTGTGCTTCTTTTACGTCTTTTTACTGCAAAACTGTTAGACTTCACAAATTTCTAACAGGACGTACACTGCCTATTTTTCTTACATCTGGTGCTGCCTTTTTGTAAAACCGGTGAGGTCTTGGTTGAACTTGAAAGAAAAAATGTCTGGGGAGACATCAAATGGGCAGGATCTTACAGGCACCACGGGAACCAGGAGGGCTAGGTCCTCATGGCCACGGTGCCCTGTGGGGCAGAGGGGCACTGGGTGTGGAGGGAGTTTGGGAAAGCCGGTCTCTGGAAAGCTCCGCCAGAGCACCTGCCCTGTCTGGACAGGGACGGTCAGTGCTGAAGAACTGGACGTTCTGATGAGCGCTCACCGTGAGTGCCTGTGGGGGGTGGGGGGGGCAGTGAAAAGAACAGGAGGTCGACCCCAGGCCCAGAGGCGGAGCTCCTCGTGGAGTGACCACGTACTGCCTCCTCGACTCAGGACTTCTCACTATCGAAATGCACGGGTTTTACCACAGTTCAGAGTTACCACCTTGTGAAGGTTTTGCCATTTTTCCTTAAAATAAATAACTGCTCTGCCATCAGGCAGTGCAGACCTCGGTCTAGAGACCCGGGGATAACCAGGGCTTTGAGGGGTTGTGCAGACCTGCAGGTCCGGGGAGCAAGGAGAGGAGGGGGCGGCTCTGATCCTGGGACCTTCCCCATCCGGGGTCCCCCTTGGGAACACTTTCTTATCAGCCCGGAGTCACAGCTCCTAAACTCTCTCTTTACGAAGCCACTCAGGTGTAAATCAGGCTGAAAACAGTAGCTTTTGGTGGGATCACTGCGGCGACAGCTGGACTCCCACTCCGTGGCTTGCATGCTGCATCACAGGAAGGTCTGTCTTCCAAATTCCCGCGTTCGGATGTGGCAGCCAGGTGGCCTCCATGCTGGCGGGTCACCCCTTGGGAAAGCCTCTCTTCCTCTCTCCAGAGGATAAGAGACTTAATAGAGTTGAGAAATTTGTTCTGAATCAAAGGGGGAAAACTCCAGTTTATACATGGAGCTGTGTGCCGAGTTTATGAGAACCAGCCCATTTGCACAAAAATTGTGTGCATGTCTAAAATTACGTCATCAAAAGTCGTTTGTGGATTCACACTGCTGAGACACGTGTTCTCCAGTGAAACCAGGTCTGAGTCAGTCCCCAGATAATAGGAACGTCTTTTTTTTAAACGAAGGCAGTTACCAAGCAACAGAACAGACTGATTGGGCCCTCATCCTGATGCTGAGAGGCCCGTGGAGGCGGCGCTCAGGGCCTAGCCCCCCCACCCCCGCAGGAGCACACGGGGTCCGGGACCAGCACCAGGGCCGCCTAAGGAAGGAAAGTGACTCCAGGGCCGAGGCCCCCTCGCAGGCCGGGCTCCGGGGAACAGGCCACGCACGACCAGCCCCCCTGCTCTGGGCTGTTTTCAGACCCTCGGTGGTCCCATCAGGCCCCCACAACCACGTAACCACAGACAGCAGGAGCAGAATAACCTTCCATCAGGCCATCTTGCCTGGAAGGACACTCTTGTTCTGGCTGCTGAAGTGAACCAACCCTTTGCCCGGTTCCTCATGCACCTTGGTCCTTACATGGCATTTGGGGCCAAGGCGACATGCTTTGAGGAGCAGGGTAGAGTCCACAAACCATGCAGTGATGTCAGAGGACACCAGGCCACAACAGGGTCGCGGGCTCGGAGTGGGGTGGGAGCAGGCAAGCGCTTCCCCGCAGCCTCGCGGGTCAAGTCGGGCTCTGGCTGGGAAGTTCTTTGTACTTTGTGCAGTCCACACACGCACCCTTGCTTCTGTTATGCACAAATGTCAGTGTGTGATTTTGAGGAATGGACAGTGATGACAAACCATGATGCCTGTGTTTCCGAGTCTTTAAATAAAGCTGAACAAGGAGAGAGGTCTGGTGTCTGGACGAGGGTAGCAGTGAGGTGGGGCAGGGCTGGGCAGGCGCCTCCCACGTCCCCGCAGCCAGCCGGTGGGCTACAGCCAGGTGCCTCCAAAAGCTTCTGTGTGGGGGACTCAGGATCTGTGTCTGGTGGCAGGTGCTGAGGGGACTGGGGGGTGCCAGAGGGCCTCGCCCAGCACACGCTGAAACTCTGCCACTGCCAGGCAGGTGTGCACGGCCTCTAGGTCCCCTGCAGGGTCGTGCTTGCCTGGAAGGGCAGTGACTTTCTGCAGACAACGCCCCTCATTTCTTGTGGGAAGCCTTCATGTCAGGAGTATTCAATACCTGTCGGCCAGGAGGGCCTGTACTGACCGCCTAGATGAGCGTGCTCACCACCCCGCCTCGTGTGTCCGACCTGGGGTGCCTGAGCTGTGGGGCCCTGCTCTCTGGAACACAGTGTGGAGGGTGCCCGGGACCCCCAAGCAGGCAGGGCGTCAGCATGCTGCTGATCTAAGGAAGGGGTCCTGTCCCCAGTCAGCCAGAGTGAAGCCCAAGGCCGCAGGGGGGCTGTTTCCTGAAAGGCCTGCCACCTCCTGGCCGGGGTTCACCCCGACGGCCTTTGACCATCTATCACCTGAGCTGGAGGGGAGCTTAGCAAAGAGCTACTTTGTTCTTCTACACAAATGAAATTACCTCCTGTGAGACTGAATAACAGAGCCCGGGAACAGGTGGGAGGCCGGGGCCAGCACTGCAGTAAGATGCGTGCACCCACCTCTCCAGCAAGCAGACGAGCAAGCGAGGTCAGAGCTGCAGTGCCCAGATCTCGTGGCCCAGTGGATCACCAAGACTCAAAGCTGAGTCTGCTCACCAAGTCTCAAAGCTGGGTGCTGAGCCAGGCCCTGGGATGTGTGTCGGGCCTGAGAGCCGGGGTGGGGGGAGGGGAAGTAGGGCCATCACGACCTGTGGGAACACGGCAGGCAGGGCCATCCTGACCGCAGGGACGGACACAGCGACTCTCTGGGCCTGGAATGCAGTCTCAGCAGGGATGTGGTGGGTCTGTCTGAACACAAAGGTGAGGGCAAGGCAGGCAAAGGGGGACGGGATTCCTGGTGGGGAGTGTCTGGCAGTGTCCCCGGGGGACAGAGGAAGCTGCAGGACCAGAAGGAACTGCTGAGTAGGAGGCTCCAGACCAGGGGGGAGGAGCGGGGAGATGGGCGGAGGCCCCCACATAGGACGGGCTGCAGAGAGGCGTTTCAGCAGGGCCAGGGCAGGAAGAGCCCCAAGCCTGTGAGGAGGGGGAGCAGCAGAGATGGGAGCTGCACACTGGCCATTGCTGCAGAGACTAGTGGGGTTTGAGTATTTGCAGGACAAGGGAAACTGTGCATGTGCGCGGGTCCCCAGGAAGCGGTATCGGGGGTCAGGTGGGCAGGGCAGCGTAGGCAGGACGGGTCAGGCCCTGTCACCTCGCCCACACCCTGGGGCCTCAACCTGAGGATGGTGGGTGGGCTTGAAGACAGTGCTTCCTGCTCTATTGTTTGTGGAATAAATCTCATGTTATCTGTCCCCCCGGCCCTCAGCCTTCTGGCAACAAAACTGCTCTTTTCTTTAAAAAAGAAAAATAAGCAGCTCTTGCCCTTACTTTCGAGACCGCTGTTTGTGCTTTGGGTTTCAAGAGTCTGATGAACAGACAATTCCCAGAAAAGGAACACAAATGGCCGGGTACGAAAAGATGTTTAGCCTCACTCCTCATCAAAGAAACATGAATCCAAATTACACTGCGACTCCCTCCCCGCCTTCAGACTGGCGGAGACCCACAGGGGGAAGCTGCTCTGCCCGCAAAGCCGTGGGGAAGCGGCCCCACCTGCTGCGGGGACGCAGGTGCCTGAAAGCAGGGAAGCTGCGCAGCCGCCCTTGTGCGTGAGCAAGAGGGTCTCAGGGATGAGAGCGCAAGGCGCAGGGTTGTCACGACACGAAAGGACAGAAGATGAGAGGCCCCCAGCCGGAGACCCGCGAACACGCACGGGGCGCACGAGCACGGAGCCCGCGCACTTGGGCACATCTATTCCTTGGTTCCGCGCACAGGGCCCAGGAGGTGACACGGATTTGCAGTGTCTCCACGTGGACTGTTGATGGAACAAGTGAGCAGCACCGTAAACAGCACACATGTTTGTCTGTGCTTGTATTTGCTGGCTTTTGCGTGAGCACTAGCCACGCTGGTGCGGAAGTTCTGACGAGAACGGCTGAAGGATGGAAGGAAACAGGACAGCGCAGCGTGGGCGTGGGGCGGCTCTGGATGACCCTCTTCACGTGGCGCTTACTTTTTAGTCTGTAAATATCTTACACACTCAGGAAGTAATTTTCAATTTAAAAATCAAGCGACCTGTTTTGAAAGCAGGAGCTGAACACAAGCTGCCTTTTCTGTCCCATGAATAGGGCCTCGTGTCCAGCGCTTGTCCGGCCCCCGAGCCGCTTGGACGAGGCCTGGGCCGGCCCTGCGTGGGGTTGGGGGAGTAGCTTCTGGGCTGAGAGTGAGTAAGGGGAGGCAGGGTGGAGGCTTCAGGACAGGGACAGTCAGGAGAAGAGAGCCTGGAAGAGGGGGAAAGAATTCAGAGCCTCCCTGAGCCACTCCCCGGGCCTCGCCGGACCCTTCCTCCCTCTGGGGGCCTTGCACCCAGGCGGCCCTTCACCCCGGACCTTTGAGAATTTGGTCGCAGCACTTTTCCTTGGACATCAGTGCTGCTGAGGTTTTCCTCTTTTCTGACGTTCAGAGCTGCAGTCCTGACAGGGGTTTTCTGATGTGGAAAACTCCCACCCCCGGGTGGGTCAGAGTTCAGCAGCCCTTGAGGTCCAGGCTGCCCTGGCCTGTCTCCCTCCTCCCTTCTTGGCCACTGAGCACTGACTTGTAAAGGGGAGAAGTGGAGAGGCCCTGCAGCACCGCGGAGTTACTAAAATCATGGCACGTTCAGTACCTTCCCCTGAACGCAGCCCTTTAATGTGCCTCGTAAATATGCATCAGAGCCCTAATCAGGGCGAGTCATCCTGGGATGCCGTCTGAGCTGCCGCCTGGTGCGTCCCTGATTTATATTTTTTCAATGAACTCATCAAAGGACCTGGAGCTTAATCAAAGGCTTCGGAATCTTCTGTGGGGCCAAGTCAAATCACTGTCAGTCCAAAGGGAGGTCTCTAGGGGCATACCCCAGGGCTCAGCCCCGCAGAGCATTCTGTAATTTAAGTGAAGGCATCCAGGCATGAATATCACATCTATCAATTACGCAGAATCTGAGGGGACAGTTGGATACAACAGTCGCTGAATCAAGGGCATAGCTCCCTCGAGGGAAGAGAGTCACGCACAACCCAAATAACTTATGTGTGAGGGCCAGCAGTTTATTGTACTTGACCAGCATAGCGTGCTCGTCAAAAGGGGGGTGTCATGTGAGTAAGTGCAAAACTGCGAGGCAGGGGGTTGGAGGGGAGGTTCCTGCCCAACGGGCGTCCGGCCAGGAGGCTGGCTGTGTGGCCCGCGAAGGTGTTAGTGGCCACACAGCTGCCCTCGGGGATCAGGACTCAGAAGGGACTCCCAGGACAAGTGGGCAGGCCTGGAAGGGGAGGGGCTTCTCCTCAGTTGTAGATGAGGTCACTCTCCAGGCTTTGGGAGTGTCTGTTCATACAGACGGTCATGTTGCATCAGCCAATAAAACTGTAAAAACTGTTTTAAACTATATGTTTTCAAAACCTGAAAGCCCTTTGATCAAGTGAAATCTTCTCTGGAAGCCCAGCTTATAAACCAGATGAGAGCAGGACAGTTCTTGAAACGGGTAGGGGCCCAGAAACCCGTTTCTCCGGGCCCCCCACAACCACGGCTCTCATAGAGGCCTGTGCGGCACAGCACAGCAATTCCTGGGCGACAGGAGCCAAGTGAGGTGTGTGAGTCAGCGAGGGCCACCACCACCAGGACCACAGCAGGGCTTAAACTCCAGGTTTGACTGCCCGTGGCCTGGAGGCTGGCAGTCTGAGGTCAGGGTGTCAGCAGGGCTGGTCCTCCCGAGGCCTCGCTCTGCATCTGTGTCCCGATCTCTTCTCTTCAGGACCCCAGTCCCGTCGGACTAGAACCCACCCACTCGACCTCGTATAACCTTCCCTACCCCTTTAAAGGCCCCACACCCAGCACTCACACCTCAGCTGTATGGCGCAGAATTTTTTGTGTTTTTGTGTTTAAGTTCAAAATAGTTTGTAAACTTGGTGGGTTTTTGAGCTGTCAGTTTTTTAGAATTATGTTGTTTAATTTCTGAATATTTAGAAATTTCAATTGCTGGTTTGATTTCATTGTGGCCAGAGAACACGCTGAATACAGTTTCAGCCCTCTGAAATCTCCTGGGGCTGGTTTTAGGGCCAGAAGAGGTCTGTGTTGGTGGATGTTCTGCTGCTGTTGGTTGGCATGTTCTCCGAATGTCAGTCGGATCAAATCGATCGATGGTGCTGCCCCAGTCTTCCGTGTCTGTGTCAGTTTTCTGTTTGCTTGTTCTGTCAGTCACTGAGAACGTTGCTGAGGTTCCGGCTGCCGTAGTGGGTTTGTCCTTCTCACGGCTGTGGGATCTGCTCTTCTCTTTTCAGTTCTGTTGGTTTTTTGCGTCATGATTTTTGGCTCGGTTATTAGGTGCAGACACGTGTAAGATTGGTAAGTTCTCGTGGGGAACTGGCCCCTTTGTCATTTAGAAATGACCCCGTTTGCCCCTGACAGAGCTCCTTGTTCTGAACTGTGTCTCACATTAATGCAGCAACTGTAGCATCTGTTTTCCGTGATGTCTTTTTTCCATCCTTTTAATCTCTCTCTGTCTTCATATTTAAAGTGATGTTTTAGTAGACAGTTTATATTTATGCCTTTAAAGTCCAGTCTGACAGTCTCCACCTGTTAATATTGGAGTGTTTTGAACATTTACAGTAATGGAATTGGGTTTAAATCTACAGTCTTGGTAATTTTTTCTTCATCCATCCTTTCTCTTTTCTCCCTCTTTTCCAGACTCCTTTGGATTAATGTAGTATTTTTTATGTTTCCGTTTTATTGCCTTTTTTGGCTCAAAAGACATACTTCCTTGTTTTCAGATTTTGTGATTGCCTTAGAGTCTGCAATACGTGTCTTTAATTATCGTTGGTAATTAAGTTACCGTGCTGTTAAAGGTGCACGTTATGCCACCTCATGTATTTTGTAAGCATTTCGTTATGAAGTGTGCATATGAAGTGTTACCCTTCGCACCCTTTGGGCTGCTGTCGTCATTCATTTTCCTTCTTCACATGTCATGAAGCCCACAAACTATTTTTGCTTTAAACAATTGATTACTTTAAAGCAATTTTTAAACTAGAGAAAAACAGTCTTTTCGTCACTCACATATTTACCATTTCCAGTTACTTTGTGTAGGTTTGAATTTCCTTTTGGTGTCATCTTCCTTGTGCCTGAGAACTTCCTTCAACGCTTCTTGCAGTCCAGGTGTGTTGGCGGGGGGGTTCCTCTGCAGTGGCGTTTCGCCTGCCCCAGTGTCTTCATCTTGCCTGTGGTTTTGAAAGGCACTTGCCCTGGCGTGGAATGCTGGGTGGCTTTGTTCGTGCAGCGTTTTAAGCGGTGTTGTCGTCTCATGGTCTGCGCTGTTCTTGACGATGCGTCTTTGCTTGATCCTAACTCAGTTCCTCTCTGTGCAATGTGCCTCCTTTACTCTCTTGCCTCTGCGCTGGCTTTCGGGAGTTTGATGTGTGTTGTATGCGTGCTTTTCACCTTCTCTTTGGGACTGCTGAGCCTCTTGTTTTGGTGTATTTATGGTTTCCATCAAATCTGGAAAATTTGGGTCATTATTTCTTCAGTCTTTTCCTGTCCCTCGTTGTTTTCTAGGGCTTCTGTGGCCAGTCGGTGTCCCACAGCGCGCCGATACTCCCTGACATCTGTTCCCAGTCCTTTTTCCCTGTGTGTTTCATTTCATAGTTTCTACTGCTCCGTCGTCAAGTTCGTGCTCTTTTTAATGGACTCTCGGATCCGCTGCTGGGAGCGTGGGGTGTGTTGTTCTTATCTGTGAGTTTGTGTCTTTTTCAAACCCTCCGTTTCTGTTTCCATCACGTTCTTGCTTTTCTCTCCCTGCACATGTGTGGACAGTGTTTGTAACAGTAGTTTCAATGTTTCTGTGTCCTAACTCTATGCACTGTGTTTTCTCGGGTGTGTCTCTGGTGATTGACTTTAAATCTTGTGATCGTACCTCCGGTATCTCCGGGGGCTTGCTAACCCTGTATCAGATGTTGTGGGAGGCTGGACGTGGGGAGCTGGGTGCTTGTCTTCCTTCAGGTGGTTCTGGCTTTGTTCTCGATTCAGTTAAATCCCTTGGAATCAGCCTTACCTTGAGACTGTTTTTGAGTTTTGTCCAAACAGTTTCATCCCGGAGCTAAATCGGTCTTGTCACTGAGGCCTCTCATTTTGGGAGGTGGCTTCCTGCCTTGTGCGCATGAGAGCATGGCGTCCGTTCCCTACCGGCCAGCTCTTCACAGTGTGGACTGTTAGGACTCACCAGTGAGCTCAGGGAAGTTGCAGGAATCCTGCAGGAATCAGTGGCACTTCTCTATGTTAACAATGAAACATCTGAAAAAGGAATTTAAAAAGTCTCCCACCCACAGCAGCATCAAAACAATGAGACACCCAGGAACAAGTCTGACCAAGAAGGTGAAGGGGGGTGGGCTGGAGGAAGGGGTCAAAAGGTACAAGTTTCAAGTTATGAGTTAAATAGACACCGGGACGTTGGCTGTGATTAACATAGTTCCCGCTGCTGTGTCAGACACCGGCGCTGTTAGGAGATTAAACCCTGAGAGTTCTCGTCACAAGGGAAAAAAGTGTTTTCCCCCTTTTTGTTTCTTTCTTTTTTTTTTCTGTTGTATTTCTGTGAGATTATGGATGTTAACTGAACTCACTGTGGTGACTATTTCCTTTGAAAGTCAAATCATTATGCTGTACACGGTGCTGTGTGCCAATTACACACATAGATCAGGGGAACAAAACAGCCCAGAAACAAACGGCTGCATTTACACTCGGCAGACATTCAGCCCAGCAGGGAGCGGATAGTCCGCCGACACACAACGTCGGGAAAACTGGATGACCATGTGCAGGAAAATGAAACTGGACCCCTGTCCTATCCCGCTCACAAAAATTAACTTGAGATGGATTAAAGACTTAACATGAGACCTGATACCATGAAGCTTCTAGTAGGAAATGTAGGGAAGAAGCTGCCTGACGTGGGTCTTGCAGTGATTTTTGGATATGACACCAAAAACACCAGAAACAAAAGAAAAAACTAGCTAGTGTGGCAACAGCAAACTAAAAATTTTCTGTGTAGCAAAGGAACCAATCAACAAAATGAAAAGACAACCTACAGAATGGAAGAAAGTATTTGACAACCGTGTATCTGATAAGGTGTTAATATCCAAAAATATATAAATAATTCCTATAACTTAGTAACAAAAAAAATTTGGCTTTAAAAATGGGGAGCAGAACTAAACAGACATTTTTCCAAAGAAGATCCACAGATGCCCTCTGTGAGCTGTTACCTCACACCTGCCAGAAGGGCTGTTGTCAAAAAGATAAGAAATGACAAGTGCTGGCAAGGACGTGGAGAGCAGGGCGCTTCCTGCACTTCTGGTGCGAATGTGAATGGTGCAGTCCCTGTGGAGAACAGTGTTGGAGGTTCCTCAAAAAATTTTAAACAGAACTGTCCCATGATCCAGCAGAAATGGAATTCTCGGTGATCCAGCAATTCCACGCCTGGGCATAAATACAAAGGAGACGAAAAGAGGGCACTGAAGAGACATCTGCACCCACATATTCACTGCAGCACTGCCGACGGCAGCCAGGATGCGGAAACAGCCTGCATGTCCATCACGGTTAAATGGACAAAGACACGTGTGTGTGCACAGTGGACTATTACGCAGCCTTGAGAAGGAAGGAAATCCTGTCATTTGCAGCAACATGGCTTGACCTTGAGGGAGGTAAGTCAGACATAGAAAGACAAATACTGTATGATCTCACTTATATTATATAAAAAGCTGAACTTGTAACAGGGGACAGTAGAGTGGTGGTCACCAGGGGCTGCAGCGCTGTGAGGACTGGGGAGACACTGTTTTAGGGCACAATCTTGAGATGAATACACGAATCAGTCCTGGAAGCAGCGTGCAGCATGGTGGTTAGAGGACAGCGCTGTGTTATGGACTTCAGAGTCCCTGAGATGAGACGTCAGGTGTTCCTGCCACAGAGAGGAGGCGACAGTCATGTGAGGTAATAGGAGTGACAGCAACTGTCATACGTCAGTGCATCAGATCAGCACACTGAGTACCTTATACTTACATGGTGTCATGTGTCCATTAAACATGTGCTTAATATGTCATCTCTCAGTAAAAGTAAAGTCAAAGAATAGACTGAAAATGAAAAACCATATGATCATTTCGATAGATGCAGAGAGAGCATTTGACAAAATCCAGATCCAGTTCCAGACTGAAAAAACAAAACAAGTCTCTCAGACTGTGGAGTCCGCCTCAGGACCTCACAGCCCCACTGCTGATGCCGTTAGCAGTGACACAGTGAAGACTCCGCTCCTCTGGCCGCTTCACCCCTGACTCCACACAGCCGAGGGCCCGAGAGGCCTAACCCCGACCTCGCCCATGCTCAGGGCTCCTGTGTGCTCCAGTATCTGGCCCGCCCAGTGTCTGGCCCTGGGATACAGCAGTGACTGTGGCCAGCAAGCTCCCTGCCCTGCACGGCTGCTTCCAGAAGGGCATCAGATGCTCCAACCAGAGCGGCCGCAGGAAGGAAGCTGATGTTTCCTGGGAGGCGGGGCAGGAGCAGCCTCATGAGCCCGGGGCTGGAGGGACCAAGGCAGGGAGGTGTGGAGCTGGGGATGCCGCAGTTGGGGGCTGTGCTCCGAAGGCCACCCTGGCCTCTGTAGGGGGACGGGTCAGCGAGGGCAGAGGGGAGCCAGGGGGTGTGCACTGCCTAGGGTCAGCTGAGGACACAGTGGCCACTGAGCCCGGCTCCCCTGTACCTGTGTCCTCTGATGCGGCTCCTCCCAGAGAGGTGGCCCCGCAGCCTGACCTGCCCTGGGCCTGCGGAAGCCTGGCTCCCTGCCACCTGCTCTTGGGACCCCTGCCACTGCACGAGAGCGGGCTCGTGGTCTCCAGGACGGGGGCAGGGCACAGGGAGCAACCGAGCTTTGTCGCCTGTCCTGGGTCCACAGAGCTGTCTCGCCCACCTGGAGTCTCATGGGGAATAATTGCTTGAAGCCATATTTGTGTGGGGGGGTTATTACTCAGGAACAGCACTGCTGCCCCTCTGCCCGTTGATCTACCTAGAAAAGTCGTCTGTGCGCCTCCCGTCTGCCTATGACCGTATCTTGCTGTCATTTGGGGCACCCAGCGACCTCACTGCTGAGAAACCCAGGTTCCCTATCCGTGCTTCCCTCTGGGCACTTTGCTCCCTACTTGAAAGCGCCTCTCTTCTCTCTGGCTGCCATCCCGGCCTGGCCCTAGTGCTGCTCTGGGATCTGGGGACACCTTTCATTTCTGTCCACATGTGTCCCCATGTGATCTCAACTCCAAGACCGCCAGCCACATCTGCAGACGCTCTTCTCCCCCACCTCCCCCCCAGATTCCACCCAGGAGCCTGCTGCCTTCTGGGCCTATCTTGGCCCTCCAGGCATCTCCATTTCCTTCCCCAGATCTGCACCTGCTCCTGGCTTCCCTGTCCCTGGTCACAGCACCACCAAGTGTCCAGGTCCGAGCCAGAAGCAATTTCTTGTCCTGCCAGGCGACCCCCACTCATGCCTCCTGGAACCTCCCCACCGCCCTCCTCCCCCTCCCCCCAGCTCTCTTCCCTCTACCCCACCCACCCCTGTCATCTCCACCACCTGAAGCTGCACCCTCCACTCCACCTACAGTCCAGTCCACCCCTCTCACTCAGGCAGAGGGACTTCTTCCTAACACTCAGGTCTGGTGGAGTCACACCCTCACTCAGACTCCTCCCACTGCCCTCGGTGGATCTCCCCCAGCCCTGGCTCGGGCCCTACCCTGTGCAGGTCAGGAAGCAGTCTGGGCAGCACATCCCTCCTCTCTCCCGGCTGATCGAGCATCCTTAAGGTCTCGATACAGTGTCAGTTCCTCTGGAGACACTGTGCCCCGACCCTGTCAGGTCCAGGGTGAACCATTTGTGAACTTCACTGTGCCCTGGGCTTCTCCACCTCTGAACCCTGGACATGGGGCAGAGCCACAGTGATGTCTGCACACAGACATGGAGAAGAAAAAATGATTATAGGACCTGTTTCCTATGTGTGCTTGTTTAAATATGTGCTCTGCCAAATTAAAAAACAAGCATTGTAAGCTTTTTGGTAAAAACACATTCACAGAAGCTGTGGCAGGTAATTTTTCAAGCCATCAGAAGGCTTATGGGGGAGCAGGGAGAGATGTGTACTAGGAATTAAGGATGAGCTTCCTAGCAGCCAAAGCAAAAAGGGAAGGTGTAGGGGAGCTCCAGAGGTCCCACTGGCTTATAAAGGAAGTCAGAGCCTGATTCTTTGCAGAAACAAACTGCTTATGGAGATGAAAATGGAGATAAGAACTATTTGATTGCCATGTAGACAGTTAGGAACTTACTGGAGAGTAGTATCACCTACAAGTCTGTGTTTGCCCAGAAGTCTGTGAATCCAGCTGCCTCCTCACCAAACATGAAAGAAAGATTTGGGCTCCATGGCCACGGGGTCAGGGCCAGAACCAGCTTCCTGGGGGCCGTGATGCCCTGCAGTCAGAAGCACCTCAATGTGGAGGGTTTTTGAGAAGAGAATCAAAGAACCGAGGTCCAGCTGAGCAGCTGCACAGTCTACAAATAACATCCCACTTTTCTTTGGGAAAAAAATTTAAATGGAGAAAAGGCTGACCCTCCTTCACAGGGGTTGGAGAGAGGGCTGTGTGAAGCACGGGGGTCTTGCAGAGCGACGTCTGTCCTGTGGCCCCAGGGAGGCTCAGTGCCTCCTGTAGGGACTTGCGGCCCTCCAGCTCCGAGTCAGAGGCAGACCCCATCTCAGAAGAGGGAGGCCAAGGCCCAGGTCAGTTCTTCTGAGGATAAGTAAGTAGAACTGTAGGGGAGCCTGCCTTGCCTGCTCAGACCTCGTGCACCTGCTGCGTGAGTAAGAGGTAACACTGTGCTGGCTGTCCATGCACCCGCACCTGCCCTGCACGAGTAGGACGGGCCTTCCCACGCTTCACGGCGTGTCGATTTTCTCTTTTCCTGTAGATTCTTACTTCTTTTCTGTTTAGAGAAGACTTTTCAATAAGATCTAAATTTAAAAAAAAAAACCTTTTAGGATAGGTTTAGTATTGCTGTATTCTTTTAGTTTTTGCTTGTCTGAGAACTTTCTCTCTCCTTCTGTTTCAAATGATAATCTTGCTGGGTAGAATATGCTATGTTGCAAGTGTTTTCCTTTTCAAGACTTTTGACTGTATCTTACCACTCCTTCTGGCCAGCAATGTTTGTTGAGAAATCAGCTCAAAGCCTTAAGGCTGTTCCCTTGTATGTGACTGTTTTTCTCCTGCTGCCTTTGGAAGCTTCTCATTAACTTCCCCTGTTTTAATTATAGTATGTCTTGCTGTGGATCTGTTTGGGTGCATCTTCATTAGGGACCTTCTGTGCTTCCCATACCTGGGTCTGTTTCCTTCTTTAGGTTTGGGAAGTTCTCAGCCACAATTTCTTTAAATACATTTTCAGTCCCCTTTTCTCTTTCTCCTGGGGTCCCTGTTATGCTTGGATTGTCACACTTTCTGTTATCTGGTAGGTCCTGTGTCTTGCTTTCATTTTTTTTTTTCATTTGTCTTTCTGTCTCCTGTTCTGATTGGGTGATTTCCAGCATTTTATCTTTCACATCACTTTTTTGTTCTTTTGCACTATTTAGCTTGCTGCTGTCTCTGTAGCTTAGCTTTTATCACAGCAAATGAGTTTTCTGATTTTGTCTGGCCCCCCTTCATAGCTTCTGGTTCCTTTTTACGGCCACCTGCATTTCTGCTGATAGACTTTCCTCATTCCTGAAGTATTTTTATTACCTCCTGTTTGAATTTGGTCCCTGGTAGATGGAGAGGTCTGTTCCATTGTTCATTCTTCCAAAGGATTTCTCTTTTCTATTAATTGGGAGTAGTTCCTCTTCTTCTTCATTTTACTTATTTCTCTATATGAGTTTGGGAGTAACAGTTAACTACTCTGGTCTTGAAGGGCTGCTTTTATATGGGAGTCCCTGTGTAGTCAGCGTGCATCTAATATTTTTGTCACAGGGACTGTTTCTAGTGTGGATGGCTGCCACGTCTTTCCTCCACGTGTGCTGGCTGTTATCCCCTTGATCGGGGGTGTGACTGGTGTAGGGGGGCCCAGAGCCCACACTGGCTGTCGAGCAGGGCCTCCGCTTTGCTCTGTAGTTGTCACAGCCCTGTCGGGGCCCTGTCTGCTTCCCTGTTGTTGGAGTAGAAGCCCCCTCCTCCGTTTCTGTACTGTGGTGTGAGGCAGGCAGGACTGGAGTGTTCCTGCTGTGGTGTCACCTGTCACCCGTGTAGGGGCTCACAGAGCGCACTGTTGCTGGCACTGTCTGTGCCCCCCCCCAAGCCATGGGGATGCAGGCAGTTGGCCCAGGTGTCCCTCAGGTGCTGTGCTCTCAAAGGCACCAGTGCAGAGCTGCTTAAGTCAGGCATTGGGACTGCCGTGGTCGCACACCTGGATCCGCTGTGGGAGCTGTGGAGTCAAGTCACACCACTAATGGCGGACCTGCCCCAGCCACGGGAGCACCAGTCGTCCACTCGGGTGTCCTGCAGGCACTGAGCTTACAAAGTCACTGGCAGCGTGTGAATCCAGACATCACAGAGCGCGGGGGACACTGCTTGGATTTCAGCCCCACCTCCAGAGGTGGGCAACTCACTGGTGCTTGGCCACTCCTGGAGCTCAGAGATGGGGTCGTGCCCACTGTGAGCTCACTGAGGTGCAGCTGCTACGGTGGGTCCCGCCCTCCCTTCATGAGCATGTTACCTGAGGCTTCTACAGCAGACCAGGCCCATCCTGCGTGCACCCCCAGTGGCCTGGACCACACTCCAGCCCCTTCAGGCTGTCTCTGCATAGCCAACCCCAGTCCTGTCCCCCGGTCCGTCCACTGAAGCCCAAGTTCCAGCGCCCAGCCCCCACGCGCACCAGCAGATGCACGTCTGAGTAGGGAATGCAGGGGGCTGGCCAGGACTGTCTGTGCTGCGCTCTCCGTGCTGTCCCAGTCTGGCTGCCACACTCTCTGCTGAGCAAGAAGCTCCTTTCTGTCCTGGCTCATCTCCCTGCTGGTGAGGGGTCCCCAGGGTGAGGGAACCTTTCCTCTTACACAGCTCCTGCCAGGGACACAGGTCCCATCCTGTTTCCTTGTCTTCTTTCATCCCACCCAGTTATGTGGTGATCTTCCTTGCAGCTTTGGTTGTGTGAGATCTGTGAGCGTTCAGCTGACATTCTGAGAACTGTTCCGCACGTAGATGTGCTTTTGATGTGCCTGGGAGGAGGGCGCTCCGCGTCCTTCAGTTCTGCCGTCTTGGTCTCCGCCTGCACCGGTGTTCTTAAGACACGACTCAGTGGTTGGGCTGTGCACTCAGCGTTAGGAACTGTCGTCTGTGTTGAGTCAGCCTCCCTGGCCTAGCACTGCCTCCCCCGTACACCTTTCCCTTGACCACGTGAGGTCACGCCGTTCCGTAGCTCCTGCTCCTGCTGGACGAGGCACATAGACTCCTCCTTGGTCTGTTCCCTCCCCTTCTATAGCCTCACCCATATTCGTTTGCCCTGAGCTGCTTCCCAGAAGGCATGGCCTTCATCAGAATCACCCTTCTCCCCTCCTGCATCTGAAGCTGCTTCAGTCCCTGGAGTCCCAGCCCCCATCTGCAATGCCTTCCTCTGCTCTGTGGGCGGCAGGAACCCTTCTGCGAGAGCTCTGCACATGCTTGTCTTGTGACAGCTCTGGTCGTTCCACAGGGGCCTGTCAGCTTGTGTCCTCATGTCCTAGTCAGATGGGAGAATGGGGCCAAAACGAGTTTCTCTTTAAAAAGGAATAATAACCTCCCTGTAGTGCTTGAAGGTGAAATCAGTCTGTGGTGAAAGAGGTTTGAAATTCAGAGGAGGTGGCACCGAGATTAATGGTTGGCAGTGAAAGGCAATTCTGCTTCACATGCTTCATGGAAAAAAAGATAAAACATGTCGAGCTTTATTTTGTTCCCAGGAAATTAATTTAAGCATCAGTGGATAACACCTCACTCTGTAGCCTTGTGTCTGAATAGTGGAGCATGAATAGCTGTCAGGAACGTGGCACTTGACAGGCAGGACTCACTTTTCTGTGTAGACACTGTGCTGTGTACAGACGGAAGGCTGTCGGCGCCACTTCAGCAGCGTCTGTTCACCTTGTCTCTAATCACGTTTTGGTAATTCTCGCAGTATTTGACTTTTCCATTATTATATTTGTTATGGTGTCTGTGATCAGTGATCTTGTTACCACCCGTTTCACTGAAGGCTCCAGATGGTTAGCATTTTCTAGCAATTAAGTACCTTTTAACTAAGGTGTTTGTATTTTATTTAAACGCGGTGCACACTTGACAGACGACAGTATCATGTAAACATTACTTTTATATTCACTGGGAAACCAGAAAGTCCGTGTGACTCAGTTTACTGTGGTACTTGCTTTACTGGGTGGCCTGGCCCTGAGGTCTGCCTGTAGTACAGTTGCTTAAATTTTTTTCCTTTGCAGTGCAACTCTTTTAAAATAAAATCTTACATGGAATCCCAGAGACGTGAGACAAAGGGTCACACTGTGGTGGTGCATTTGCAAGGAGCCTTCCTCAGAACAGAGTCACTCGCAGCACAAGTGACGGCCCTTCTCTCAAGGTCAGAGTCTGAGGCAGGTTTCCATCGTGCTTTCAACGAGGAACTTGAGGAACTTTAACATGCCAACAATTGGTCTGGCCTTTAAAAGTAACTTTATTAAAGTTCAGGGTAGCTGTTTGCACACAGTTTGATTTAGCAGGCGACACGGTCACGAGCTTCTGGGCTGTCCTCCTCGGCTAGTGCTCAGCGCTGAAGCACTGGCCGGGCTCTGGAGGACAGGCTGCCTGCCCGCAGGGCCTCTCCGACTCCGCTCCCACCTTCCAGAACCTGGGCGTTACTGAGCCTGAGAAGAAAGTTCAGAGCTTTTTCTGTGATACTTACAACTTACTTTACTAAAGTTTTAAAGGGTTAAGAGGCATTTATGAAATTTAAATGCAATAATGGAATTTTAAAGTGTTGGTCCACACAAACTGTGTTACGAAATAAAGGTTTTATTTGCAACTTACACAACTTCATGAAAAAATACATTATGTAGAATCTGACATGGTAAGTAAAACAATCTGAAAAACACTGGTTACATATCTTGGCTTAAAATAATTCAAACACATAAACATTTTATCAGCATTAGCTCAATTAAGACAACAGTTTGCAAAAAGATAAGTTAATTTAAACACTGCTTAGTAAATATGTAGATACATTTTATTAAATGTCAGTTTTATTTAGAATACTCAAGTACAAAACAATGAAAAATTATATACTTATGACTGTTAAGAAAAAGTTAGAAACCATTAAAGTGTTCTGCAAATACTAAGGCACTGAATTCAGAAATCCTTAATTATCTAAATTTTATCTTTAATATTCAGATGCTCATAGTTATTTTCTTACATGTTTTTAATAAGATTTAACTTTATTACTTTTCCCCTGGAAGACAGTTTTAAACGACAAGTATGTAATACAGTGTGAGAACACCTAGTTTCAAAGGTACTTACCACTAGAAAAAAGAGTTTATGTACCTGAATGTTTTTGCTTTAAACATATTTTGTTTCATCACATCAACCACAATACTGAAGCCTGGATGGCCATCCTTATTATATAATTTGATAAAAAGCTTAGGAAAATTGCATCAAAAATTTAAAAGTTCTATAAAACTACTGAGAGGACAGAGTTTCAGGTACATAGTACATTTCAAAACATATTCCCCAAAGTCTGCCTTTAGTATGTACACACACGGTTCATGTTGGAACAGGCATGCAGTCAGACAGCCGCACTGCAAATGAGCCCTGTGCTGTCATACGAGCCACACTCTGCTGCTTGGGTACAAAGCACAGCAAAGTGACAGTAACTGGGCAGCAGGAGAAATGACCTCGATTCATCCCAAACCAACAACTTAAAAACTCCTAACAGTGAAATCTAAGGAACACCATCCAGTCTGGCTTATGTGTTGACCTCATACTTGAAAGTATTTTCCATGAATGGCAGTGACTAGCCATTTACCAGATACAGAACAAGTGATACAGCAAATAAAAACAGCAAGAAAATCAAAGCACACTGCTAACATTTTAATAACGTTTGCTTGTGATGATCTCCTGTGATCTGGAACCTTTGTTCTACATAAAATTGGAGCTGAAAAGAGAAAAAAAAACCCTTTTGATTGGTACAATAAAAAACCATATAGGAAATAAAAATCACTAGAATCATTTGTTTTACAAAGCTTTTACATAAAGAGCGAATGTATAGCTAGTCTATTATAGGATGTCTAGCCATGGGACCCTGGAAGAGAAAAACAAACACCAAACTTTCTTGACGGTGACTTCTGAGCTCTCAAAAAACTATGGACTGGGCCAGATTTTGTAAACAACAGTCCATACCTTACTTTCGCAAGGTGACTATAAACTGTCTTTTGCATTATGAATATTAAAATCAGGGCGTCCAAATCTAGGAACATTGGACTAGGTTGAGATGGTAAGGTAAAAGGCCCCTTAGCTTTATAATTCAAGGCACAATGAAAAGGAGTCATAAATTATTCGTATACATTTGGTCCTCTGGGTCCGAGGGTTCCACATCTGAGGAGTCAACCAACTACAGATTGAAAAATATTTGGAAAACAATTCCAGAAAGCTCCAAAAAACAAGACTTGAATTTGCTGCTTTCTGGCATTTATATTCTACTTACATGGCATTCGCACTGTATTAGGGAGTAGAAGTCATCCAGGGATGGTTTAATGTGTACAGGGAAGTATGTGTAGGTTACATGCGGAGGCTGTGCCATTTTAGCAGGGACTTGAGCATCTGTGTGGGTTTTGGTCTCCTTGGGCAACCTGATACCAGTCCCCCATGGATACTGAGGGTGGTTTATCTTTTGAAATTCAATGTTTTTATTTTTTCCACAGATAACTGCATGCCCACTAGATACCAGGCCCTGTCCTAGGCCCCGGGGGTGGCTATTAAAACAAAGATTCACTCCCTGGTAGAGCTATGTTGAGAGCATACGTGAGAATTCCTTCTTTCTTCCCGCCAAACCATAAAATCCACAGGCCAATTAAATCCATGAGTACCCCTGTGGATTCACATCTCCATAGTTCAAAATTGGAAGACGATCACAGGCAATGTTATGTTGTCCTAACTTTTTGAAGGAGACTTAAGAATTCTGGAAATACTGGGGTGAAACAGGATGTGGTGATAAAGGAACCTGAGGACTGCCCGCCCGGTGAGGGCCACGTGGCAGTGGCTGGTGGACTCATGGATGAGCAGCGATCTAACAGAACAAGTGGTCAAGTAGGCAAGTGGCGAGGACATTAAAGCGGGAGAAATAAAGTGAAAAAATGCAGGTGGGAAAAAGCCCTTATTTTCTAAAACTTGGTTACTTTGACTTTAACACGTACCCCAGACCTACAAGCCTTGGGATCTCCGCCACACACTACCAAGGCCGCCCCGAGGCCTGGGGGCCCCTCTACCTTCCTCTGTATCTGTACGTCCATCACTCGTTTCACAAGCTCTGACATCAAAGCACAGGAGTTCGAATCGATAGCCTGGTTCCCTTATTAAAATAAAAATTCTCACAAAATCATTATCAATAGAATTTGCTTTAAAAAAAGTAACCCTAAGAGTTCATTTTTTTTTTTACCAAGTATTTCATGTCAGCACGTCCCTCAAGTGGCGCAGCTGACGTGAAGGTCCCTGTGGCTCACGGGGCGGCACGCAGCCTGCGCTGGAGCAGCCAGCCTCCCGGCCACGGACCCCCGTGTAGGGGCGTGTTTCTGTGTCAGGTCATCACTCACTCGGCAGGTGTTTACAGGGCACAGAACACGTGCCAGGTGCCCTCCTAGCTGCGGGGGAAACAGTACAACAAGAGGGACAGGGTCTCGCGCTCCGGGAGGCGGACGGGAATAAGGAGCCGGGGAAGCTGTGAAGACACAGGGAAGTGAGACAGACGGGGGGCCTGGGAGGGCGGCTTACTTCTTCCGGTCCTTGTCCTTCCTCAGGCTGCTGCCCGGGACCATGAAGGACTGGTTCTGGTGTATCTCAGAGGTAGCTTTCTTCTTCGAGAACGCAATTATTTCTTCTTCCAAAAGTCTTCTCTTTTCTTCAAGCTTTATCCTCTCTTCTTGGTGGACCCTCTTAAGGTGCTCAAATTTGGCCTGCAGCTGTGAAACAAAATGGATTCCCTTGTGGCAGTGCACAGAAACTGTGCAGCTCGGGGACCCTGCGACACAGCAGCACAGCAAATCGCTCCCCCCATTCCGGTCCCCACCCCGCTGCCAACTAGAAAGCTCATGCTTCCAGTAAAAATTTACATGTTAGATTGCTCTCTAATTTTAAATGTGCTCCCAAAAAGTGCATGAGGAAAACATTACAAACAGCCTCAAGAACAAACTTCAGTTTTTGAAACATTTGACCTTTTCTTAGAGTTTGTATTTTCTTGCTCTACATTTTCCCCACAGAGCCTTTTCAGATAGTTTCTAAAATCCATTCTTAATAAAAGTGAGAGACACAAATTAGAGAAGTAAGTTATCGAAAAGGAAAATAAAGACCTTTATTTCCCAAATAAATGAACTAGGTAGCAGTGAAACAGCTGTTGATTACACTGGTGAACCTGTTAGGAAAGCAAGTGTCAATTGTCAATTTAAATCAAGAACCTTAAAATTGATTAGTTTTTCCAGTCATTCACCTTCTCAAAATCTAAATTCAAGAAATCTTAAATTCAGAGAAAGTTGTATAATAAACGTACAGTTGACCCTTGAACGACACAGGGGTTAGGGCATCGGCCCCACCAGCTGAAAATCCGAGTGCACGTTACAGTCGGCTCCACGTCTGCAGGCCCTGTGGTCGTGGTTAGTGAAAAAACCCACATATTAAGTGGCCCCACCCAGCTCAAGCCCATGTTGTTGAAGGCTCAGCTGCACCACTGAAGTAGAACTTACACCATAATGGGAAAACACTGTCTGTGTCTCTAATAGAGAGAACATTTTAAAATTCATTTATGCTCAGTACATTCAGTATAGTTGTTAAAATGAGTTTTGCCAAAATTTTTAACAACATGAGATTTCCCTGGTTTAATTATCTGGGGGAAAAAAAAATCTAGGGACTGTACTGGGTTCCTTACAGATTAGTCATGTGCCAAGAAACACAAGCACAGCATCTAGATGCTATGTCAAAAAAGACAACTTAAGAAAAAATTTCTGGTCTGGTTAGATAAACTTTCAATTAGTATTTTCAGTTCTAGGCAGCACCCTAACATTCATACAGAAAGTCAGGATCTGGTTTCCAGACAAGGTGGCGAGGGGCTGTCACTGTGCTATAGCCTGGGGGCGAGAGCCGCAGCAGCAGAGACGCAGCTGCACCCTGTTGATTCAGGGTCCGGGAGTGGAACAGACTGTCCGGTCAGCCAGGAAACCCCTGACAGAAGTACTTAAACAGACACAGAAGGGGGCTGAAACAGGTTAAGTAAGGCCCTAAGATTCTCTTACTCCTGAGAATGTCATCTCGAGAAGTAGCAGTTCCTTAGTATTTACTTATTTAGTTCTTGGGTTGGAAGAATCAGTATCGCTAAAATGGCCATACAGCCCAAGGCAATCTACAGATTTAATGTGATCCCTATTAAATTATCTATCACATTTTCACAGAACTAGAACAAATAATCCTAAAATTTATATGGAATCACAAAAGACCCAGAATTGCCAAAGCAATATTGAAGAAAAAGAGCAAAGCTGGAGGAATGACCCTTTCAGACCTCAGACAGTACTGCAGAGCTACAGTAATCAAAACACTCCGTGTGGTATTGGCACAAAAACAGACACATGGATCAATGGAACAGAACAGAGAGCCCAGAAACAAACCCCACACACCTATAGTCAATTAATCTTCAACAAAAGAGGCAAGAATATACAATGAAGAAAAGACAGTCTCATCAGCAGGACAGTGGTGTTGGGAAAGCTGGACAGCAGCATGTAAGTCAATAAAGTTAGAACATTCCCTCACACCATACACAAAAACTCAAAATGGCTTAAAGACTTAAACATAAGACAGGACACCATAAAACTCCTAGAAGAAAACACAGGCAAAATATTCTCTGACATAAATAGTAGAAATGTTTTCCTGGGTCAGTCTACAAAGGCTATAGAAATAAAAGCAAAAATTAACAAATGTGACCTAATCAAACTTATAATAAACTTGTGCACAGCAAAGGAAACCATAAGCAAGACAAAACGACAACCATGGATTGGCAGAAAATATTTGCAAATGATTGACAAAGGTTTAATTTCCAGAATATATAAACAGCTCATACAACTTAATAATGATGAATACGACAAAAATCCCAGTCAAAAAATGGCCAGAAGACCTAACTAAACAAGCATTTCTCTAATGAAGACATATGGATGGCCAGTAGACATATGAAAAAATGCTCAATATCACTAAAGATCAGAGAAATGCAAATCAAAACTATGAGATATCACCTCACACCAGTCAGAATGACCATCATTCAAAAGTCCACAAATAATAAATACTGGAAAGGGTGTAGAGAACAGGGAACCCTCCTACACTGTTGGTGGGAATGTAGTTAGTCGGGTGTACCATTATGGAAAACAGTATGGAGATTCCTTAAAAAATTAAAATTAGATTTACCATATGATCCAGCAATCCCACTCCTGGGCATATATCCGGAGGAAAATATAATTCAAAAAGACACATGCACCCCAGTGTTCACAGCAGCACTATTTATAATAGCCAAGACATGGAAACAACCTAAATGTCCATCAACAGATGACTGGATAAAGAAGCTGTGGTATATGTATACAATGGAATACTACTTGGCCATAAAAAATAATAATGCCATTTGCAGCAACATGGATGGACCTGGAGATCGTCATTCTAAGGAAATAAGCCAGAAAGAGAAAGAAAAATACCATATGATAGCACTCATATGTGGAATGTTAAAGAAAGAAAAAAAGGACACTAATGAACTCATCGACAAAACAGAAACAGACCTGCAGACATAGTAAACGAGCTTATCATTAACAGGGGAAAGAAGGCGGGAAAGGATAAATCTGGGAGTCTGAGATTTGCAATGTTAGCCACTATATATAAAAAGAAAAAAATTTCTTCTTTATGGCACAGGGAACTACATTCAATATCTTGTAATAACCTTTAATGAAAATGAATATATGTATGTATATACGCATGATTAGGACACTGTGCTGTACACCAGAAATTGACACATTATAACTGACTGTACTTACATTAAAAAAAAGATAAGAAAAGAATCTGGCCTATCAAAAGGCTGTATTAGTAACAAATGGTCCCTGCTTTTCTAAACAGATGTATAGTAAGAGTGTCTGTGTGTGTGTTTAAAGGGTGGGCCTCACCAGCTGTCCCTCAGATCAGGGTGTAGGTACAGAGCAGCAGCTCTCTTAGCCCATGTGCACCCCATGACCAGGGAGAGGAGAACGGGGCTAACCCTTAGAAAACGAGGCTATAGGACAGATTTACACTGTGGAGCAGAGGTACCTCTGGTTATTTAAATGGAGCTGCATACTTGACATGCATTGTAAATACCCTGAAAGGTTATAGAGCACTTGGTATGTCACTCATGAGGTCGACTCCAGGAAAACAATGAAAAGTGTCTTAGAAAAGGGGGGAGGGTGTGACGGTCACTCACACTGTGAGTTCTCAGCTCTGACATCAACAATCTATTCCACACGTAAGAAGCACTCGCTCTCTCCCGGCTCCGGTGCAGACATGGCCAAGTCGAAGGACCACACCACGCACAACCAGTCTCGAAAATGGCACAGAAACGGCATCAAAAAACCCTGATCACAACGATATGATCTCTTAAGGGGGTGGACTCCAAGTTTCGTAAGGAACATGCGCTTTGCCAAGAAGCACAACAAGAAGGGCCTGAAGAAGATGCAGGCCAACTACGCCAAGGCCACAAGTGCACGTGCTGAAGCCATCAAGGCTCTTAAAGGCCAAGGAGGTCAAGCCTAAGGTCCCAAAGGGCAACAGCCGCAAGCTCAGTCAACTTGCCTACACTGCTCACCCCAAGCTCGGGAAACATGCTCGTGCCCGCAGCAGGGCTAAGAGTCTCAGGCTCTGCTGGCCAAGGCCAAGGCTCAGACCAAGGCCGCAGCTCCAGCCCCGGCTCAGGCTCCCAAAGGCGCCCAGGCCCCACAGAGGCTCCAGAGAAGCAGCCTTCATCTACTGATGTGAGGACAGAAGGACTGGTGTGACCCCTGGGCTGCTGTCTGCATGGGGCTCATGTCCTCCTGTGCTGTTCGTACAAATAAACGTGACGCAGGGGGAAAAAAAGAAGCACTCGCTCAGGGCTCCACTATTCACTACAAGGTGTTTAAATCAAATACATTTTCAAATAGTTAAAAGTTTTTAAGTAAAAACAAAGTGAAAAAGAGAAGATCTTCTGTGCTGTTGAAACCACTGTCCAATGCTCTTAAGACTCTATGGCCAACGTGATCAGCTGCTGTACTTTTGTAAAAGCCATGTCTAAAGGTCTCATACATTTCTGTCGTTCAGTGATCCTTTTCAAAGTATCCATTTAAAAAAGTGAATACTAGAAACAGCGTTCCTCTCTTGTTGAGCTAGTAAATGTCTCTAACCTGTGCTCTGACCTCACTGGGGCCCGTTCACCAAGAAGTCACCCAGCACCAGGGCTCCCGCTGCACCTGCGTCTGCGTGCACACCCCGCTTCCTGCCTGGGGCTCTCCACTTCAGGGCTCTAATGTAGCTGCACTTGTTTACTGAATATTATCTGCAATACTTTTGGAAATAAAAGAGGCATAAATATTAAGTAAAAAATTAACCGAGAAATAGACTTACATATAAAATTGGGTTGTAGTAATATTTTAACGAAGGTTACGTACTTCACATGAGGAGTACATAAAAACTGTGCATTCTCTCTTGTGGTGGCAGGAAGGCTCTACGTCTAGAATGATGTTAACAAAGACGCAGACAAGACAACATTTGAACGGTGTTTGAGATGACACTTGTCCTGTGCACCTCCCTACTCTAGGTATCCGATGTTCACAGCATCTCAGCTTACCCTGTACTGTATGTGAAAATCACCCACATTGATACAAAAGATGAATTAAGAGGTACTTGTTCACAACGGTATTGGCAAGGATATTTTAATAACAAAGTTCTCTAACACAGACTTTTTTTTTTTCTAACACAGACTTAGATAATGTTTTGGGTTACCTGCCAGTACCTTATTGATACAACTAGCTTTAAATGCCTCAGCCCACCCAGTTGAAGACCTGGCTCACAGTCTCTGCAGTCCAGTGTAATTACTGATAAACCTCCTGTCCCTCTAAAACTGCAGACAGTCTTCCGTGGTCCTTCAGCAGACAATTCTTTGTCCCATGAGTGATGATGACCTCCAGACTGACCCTGACTCAAGCGAACCGACGGCACCAGCTGTTCAGGATAGAACTGGCCATGAGGGAACGTGTAATGGTAATAAAACAGGCCTACTATCTACTGCTTCTAAACCTATATAATTAAAAGTTTAGAACTCTTGTGACAACTTTGGATTAAACTAACTTCATCATTTAACATAATATTCTTAACACAAAACAGTGCTTGAACCTGAAAGTGAAAATCTATAAAGCACCTACTAACAAATAGTATTTCTCTTTTTCTTTCAACCGTTTGGTCACCCTCAATTTTCAGTTTCCTTTTAAATAATATACATTAAGCAAAATATTCTTATGTGGCATTAAAAAATCAAAATTCAGCTGTAAACCACTTCATCTTCTCTCCTCGCTGGAGAAACTGAGAACAGTGATGTGGGAGAAAGAAACTCGTACAAGAGAAGTGTCTGTTATTCAAAAGAAAAACCAGCACCTTATTTCCTACTTATCACACAGCTCCTTCCTCAAAATTAGTATTTAAAAACAACTCCAAACCAGGGGCTAGTCTCAAATAAGAGACTAAACAAAACAGAACACCCAAAGGCAATATGAAGCCTAAGACTGAATTCTGGTTCAAAAAAAAAGGAACAATAAAAAACAATCTTGGGACAACTGGTTGGGAAATCTGGTTGTGGACTGGGGATTAGGAGAGATTATGGCATTCCTATTAGTCGTCCTCGGCGTGACACTGGTACCATGGTTATGAAGGAAAATACACCTAAGTTTCTGAGATGCACAAAGTGCCTCCGATAAAGTGCAGTGACGCCTGCATCCAGGGAAACACCGCACACACACTCGACACGGTGAAGCGTCCACCCTGCATCTGCGTGCGGGGAGGGATACAGCTACCCTGTACTTTCACTTTCCTGTTGTTTCAACTTTCTCAAAGTAAAGATCAACATTCAAATTATAAATAAGATATATAGTAGATTATTAATTTTACAAAACCACTTACTATAGGGTTCATTTAAATAGCAAGTACTCCAAGAGTACTTAAAATAACAAATTTGTAAAATGAAATTACCTAACAAGTAACTCTTCAGGAACTCTTATATTATCAAGTTGATTTGTATTAACATTTCTGTCTTCTCTCAGAAATTCCTTTCTGCAGCTCATCTTTTGTGACCCTCATCTTAAATGTGGCCATTTACTTAAAAGCAGCCATTGCAGTTAAGTCTACAGAAAATAGCTTAACTCAAGTAAAACTAAAACTGATGCTTGAAGAACCAGAAGCGAACAGAACTGCGGAAGCTCACTTCTGACGGCTTTGTGCCAAGGCCACCAGACCATCCACCTCCAGGAAGCCTAGCTTCAAACTCAAAAGGCTGCTTAACAGTTTTCAGAGTCACCTACTTCACGGCAAACAACAATCCCAACAAGGCTCAAAAGCTCTCAGGAAAGGCTTTATCAAGCCACAGCTGAAACATTTCTGTCTCCCAATTAAGGTGTTTAAAACACTTCTTAGGAACCCAGTCCCTTACCAGCCCATTATAAGCACTTCTAAAGGAAGACATTTTGTTCAAAAATGTAAAAATTTTTATTTGATTTCAGACAGTGATTTTTTATAAAGTCTGCATCTGAAGACTACGCATCTAAAATTAAAGAACAGCTAGTCTTGAAAACCATCTCAGCTGGTCTTGAGATGACTCCCCAGGCTAACAGGGCGCCCAAATGCAAATCCCGTCAAAGCAGCACACTTGCCTCTCTTTCCGCCTCTTTCAGCATGGCCTCCTTCTCCTTCACGCGCTGCACAAACGTCTGCTTCATTTCCTCCTCCTTCCTCTGGCGTTCACCATAAAATTCATGTCTTTTGGCTTCATAGGTCTCCTGGAGGCTGAAAAGTTATTTGTGGTACTCTCATGTTAGAGACGCTGTGAACTTGCGGGCCCCACGTACCTCACTGAACTGCAAGGGTCACAGGCTGCGCGCTGTCCCCTTTCCAGAGCGCCGTCCCCTTTCCAGAGTGCCGCTGGTGGGGAGCGCAGCCTATCGGGGAGGGCTCCTTCCACCTCTGCTGCCTCTTCCCCACCCTCACCTCCACATCTGACCACCCTGGCCTGTGAGTTCAGCCTGGGGTCCCGACATCGTTTCAGTCCAGTCCTGTTTCAATTTCTACAGACACGTTGCTGAGCCCAACCTGACTTTGTGCTTTTCTGCCTTCACTACTGCAGCAACCTCCTAACTGGTCACTAGGCTATTAATTCCTCTTTCTCTCACTCTGTTCTCCTTGCCATTTCTAAGATTTTTTTCCACCAAAAATAGAGATTTCTTTATCTTCTTCCTCTGCATTAGTTATATTATCTACAGGGTAAGGTCCTACCTCCTTTAAATGGCCTCGAAGAAACTTCACAATCTGGCCAAACAGACCCAATCCCCGTAAGATTCCAGCCACACCAACCTATTCCATCATTCCTAAAACATGCCACACATTTCACACTCCAGTGTCACTGCCCACGTCCCCACCTCCACTCTACCCACTAAGCCTCTGTCCCTCCAGGACAAGTTCAAAAGCAGCTTCTTCCAGAAAGCCTTTTTTGCTCTCCCCAGTTGGACTAGCCACTCCTTCCAAGCACTTCCCATCTGTCTACACCCCTTCCACCCTCTCTCTCCTAATAGCTCCTCGTCTTCGTCACCCAGCACTCCAGCAGAGCTCTGTAGATTCTGCCGTTTCCCATAGGTGTTCATTTAGTGACAGAAACTGTAGGAAAGCAGAGGCGAGTCTAAGCAAGCTGAGCAGGACTGTCCTGGCACCCCACGCAGCTGCCCTCACCTGCAGCATCTCAGGAGCAGCGGCCCACCCCTTCAGCTCACGCAGGGAACAGCCCAGCGGTTACTGGGGGTCAAAAATGCACTTTCCAGCTATGTCACAGTTACCAATTCTACTGCTTATAAAAATACTTTACAGCATTAACAGCTGGCCGTGAGCATGTAGTAACTCAAGAGCATGTGTTCCAAGGAGGAACAATTCTACACATTTTAAGAGTAAAGTTTAAAAATGTACAAAATGCCCTAGGTAACCATATAAATGCCTCTAATCTCAAGGCATTTTACTTTTTATATTTTTTGTTTTTCTGGGTTTGTTTTGCTTTTATTTTAAAGAAGCCTTTAAATCTACTAGGCTGCCGTCACCATTTTCAGAAACCTCCCTACATTTTACAGGTTCTTCTCTGGACTGATAGTCTTTAATAACAAATTTGGTTTAATGTATTTAGATCATAGCAAGTCTAAGTGGTTTTTAAAAAATATTTTATTTATTTTGATTGAAGTATAGTTAATTTACAATGCTGTATTAAAATCTAAGTTTTAAAAAGTTCTCATTAATTTCTTTATGCAAGCACTTTATTGTTCAGGAGGAAGATCAATCTGCCTGGCAGGGAGAGAAGGCCTACCAGCAGCTAGACAGCTGCTGCAGGCAGGGACTGGTCTGGGCCCAAGTTCCCGCGGCAGCAGGAGGAGCAAGCACTGGCACCGTCTCACAGGTGAGATGACTAACACTCAGGGAGGTAAGACAGTCTGCCCAAAGGGACAGTGCTAGCAGGTTAAGGGCTGGGGCTGGAACCTGATCAGACTTGCACCAAAGCCCGTATTCCTAAGCCCCGTAAATCCTGCCCTAACGTGATGCCTCAGCCAAAGCTGAAGAGTGAAACACTGCTCCTGCGTGTCCTCCAGCCCTCATGCTCGCCCACTGCGACAGGTAAACTTACAGGACCAGCACCAAGGAAGGAAACCTGCACTGTCTTTCAATAGGTGGTGACTGTCGTGGGTCTATTTATAGACGAGAATGAACAATAGCACTCCTGCTATACTACTCTCGTTTGTAGTATAAAAGTAGCTTGCTGCTGTCGCAGTTAATGCAGCGTAGTATGATAGTTGCAAATATCACTGATTTAAAGCAAAGCTGAAAACCAAAGAGAAGGAAAAACACATTCCCAGCGGCTCCTGCTCACCAGGAAAGCGGCTGAACGCCCTTCCCCGGGGCCTCTCTGTGCTTCAGGTTCAGCTCGAATAACCCTGGGAAACCTGCCTGTTTCTGCTGCGACCAAATGCAGAAATTAACTATTTTTGAGCATTCCAAAGACACAGAATTTATGATACAAAAAATTATGCCAAACACATAAGCAACTCTAAAATACCACAAAAATCCTCCTTCCAAAATATAGGGCCCAGAGCACTTCGTTGCTGGTAGATTAGACTGGTTACGTTAACCTAAAATAATTCGGGGATTTACAGTTTATAAAAGCATGTTTCGTGTAGTTTGAATAATCCACAGGCCAGTTAGGTGAGACTACAGGACTACATGCAGTGCCGCTCTCTGGACCTCAGGACAAGCATGCGGTCGGTGCTAGTGGATCCCTAACCCTAACCCTCGGCCTGATTCGGGACGACCGTCCAGTGAGGTGGAGATGGAGAGGCGGGGGGAAGACAGGCAGAGGGAGGCTCACGTGACTGTGTGTGATGACAGACAGGTAACACTGAGCACCAGAGTCCACTTGCCAGCCAAACGACAGCAACTACTATTGTGTACACCCCAAATGAAATGGGAGGACCCTCCATAAAACACAATGTAGCCACGCTAGTAAAACCTTCCCAAGACCTAAGGCTATAACGAAGCATAAAAGCCGCACCAGACAACTCACACACAAGTGAGGGAGCGCCCAGAGGGGAGAGTCTGCCGCGCCTGACCCAGGAGCCCCGTGAGAAAGGGCTGCTCTCACCAGGAGAGCAGCCCGGGAAGGGCAGAGGCCTCCCTCACACTGCGCTCAAGCTCCCCCACTTTCTTGTTTGTCCTCTGCGAGCACAGCCGCTGACCCTGTCCACTCTACAACCCGGCGCAGGTGAAGAACCTCCTCCTAACTTTCCCTTCCTCACCTGTTCAGTGGGCGGGCGCTTCTCAAACTGAAGAAATGCTTAAAAAAAAAAAAAAAAGCACATTCCAAGCAATCTTTGATTCTGACTGCCCACCATCTCTCTCCCTCTCCGCTACTGTCCTGGTTACCTGTGGAGCGCTCCCTCTGCCCTGGACGCAGTCTGGTGGGACAACTCATCAAGCCAGAGCCCACCCACAGCCAGGACGTGCACACATGCCCTAAGCTGGGCCCAGTGGACGCAGAAGGCTTCAAGTGATCCGAGCAGCACAATAACTAATCATGTCAAACGGCTCCGCTTCTTGGCGTGGGACGGGTCGAGAACACATCCCCCTGCCCAGGGTGCACAGAGGCACAGCCCTGTCGTCTGCCTCCCCGGTGGGCTCCTCGGAGGCCTCACCTGAGCGGCTCATGCTCTGGGCCCACGTCCGTAAAGCCCAGCTCCTCCAGCTTGCAGCGCCTGTACAGCTCGTAGTGCCTGGTGTGGGTCTGATCCCGCAGATCCTCCATGTTTGTGCAGAGCAGCATCTCCCGGAGCTTGACAAAGTCACAGTGGTTCTCATTCTCCACTAGCCAGGAGAACAGAAACACAACAACAGTTCATAATCCTGACACACAGTGAGCAAACAAAAACACGTCTGGAGTGACAGCAAAATGATCAGTGTGATTAACAGCTACTGTTGTTTCATACAAGTAACCAAGGAAGCAACTCATGTCACACACACCAAGTTACAGGGACTGCTGATTAACAGACCAGGTTTGCTCAAATTCAACGCCAAGGATAAATAGGAAATAGGAGAGAAATACATTCACTCTGTACAATCTGCTCCAATGATTTCACTAATGTTTTCTTGGCAGTTTACAAACCATCCTCAGGACACTTCACACAGCACCTGAGAGTGTGTAATGATATTCCACCAAAACTTCTAGGTGGTAAATTCTGCACAGCCAAGAACACCATCCGTGTGTGCCGTACCTATCCAGTTCTGGCCACACAATGCCACATTCGTGAGCCTGCGTCAGATATGGTACTATGACCAGCAGTTTTAAGCACAATCATTACTTTACATTAAAAATCTTAAGTTTTGTCAATTTTTAAATTACAAAATTTGTCAATTTTAAAAGCAGCAGCACTGTGAGACCAGCCCCAGCTGGGTGGCCCACTCCCCGTTAGCTGGCAGTGTAAGTGGATGAGCCAGGCAGTGCTGGTTATCTACTCATTACAAAGCTAAATAAATTCTAACATTTTTAGCTGGTGGACTCGTTTGTTTGGGAAATAGTTGGCAATACTTTGATGAGTAAAAATACATAAATTTACAGGGTGGTTTATTGTGCCCCAGAATTATCTGGTAATTAGTTTATGTACTATGTTTAAACAATACTATTTACACTCAGATTTTGTTCAAAGTACCCAACCAGCCCTTCCCATCTTCTGAAAGTCTTGGCGCGCCTGGGCAGGTAACATGGTGTCACACAGGAAGTGGGGAGGCTCTGCCTGGCCTTTATACACGTGGCTAAAACAGAACACAGCCAACTCTTCTGACAGCCAATCAGATCCCAAGATGAGCATCACCTCCAGGAAGGCATGAAGTGCAGCTATAACCTGGGGGCTGCTGCTCGCCTCCTTTACCTTGTACGATGCCCCAAGGGTACTGGCGGGCTTTGACCATCTTATTTCCAACTTTCACCTCATCCATGCTTCCTACCACAGCAAACGGCAGATGTCCCTGGAAAGGAGCCAGGATGTCAATCACACCTCATCCCAACGTTTTATGAAAAAGGAGAAGAGAAAATTTATTAAATAACAAATTTACTAAAGTTAAATGATCTGCTGTGCCTCAGGTTTTAACACTCGCCCTGTGAATATATGCCAGCTGTTCTACAGTCATTTTCAGTCATCTCTCCTACAGAGAAAACCTTTACTGAGCCTGCCCTGCATGATCCCTTATTAGCCACAAGAGTACAGAACAGAAAGAATTCCAGCACAGGTGTCATTTCCCTCCGTGTCACCTCTGCCCTGGAAGACAGAGATAGTGTTAAGGCAATGGCACACACACTCTATGACTCAAGTATGTGTCTGTATTCCGTGTATGCGCACATATATGCTAAGCAAAGTGAATGCGGAAATTAAGAGGAGTGAGCAACCCCTGTGGGCGGGAAGACACAACCCAAACTGGACGCATCAAGCAGAGGAGGAAGCAGCAACAGTAAGGAGACGACTCTGAAGAGACAGCAGCTTGACCAGCCGGCAGTGAGCAGACCGTCCTGCCTGAAGTTGAGGATTAACGTCGGGGAAAAGTCTAATGTCATTTTTGAAAAAGTCTTAAGTATTATGTTTAACATATAATAATTCACAACATTTAGTCTCTTCATTGTGCCCTTCTGAAAGCTTATTCCAGGTCGGCATAAAAAATAAAGTTAGGTCTAAAGTCAATGTAACACACAGGAATTAATATCACTACATTTACATTAGTCAACTTTTTATGTATTTAGTTTAAGTTTCTAATGTAAACGAAGTATGAAAAAATCAGAGAAGCAAAAGAGGAGAATTGTAACGAACAGGTGCTGATTGTCACCATGTCAGGCAGTGAACAAAGTTGTATCCTGACAACAACCATGAAGACAGGTGTTATTAACCCAATTTTATAGATAAGTTAACAGTCTAGGGAGGCTAATAACTCCCACAAGAATGTATGGTTAAGTCTATCTCACTCCAAAACCCATGATCCTTCAAAATAACCTAGTATTTAAGAAATCTGGTAGTCTGGAGAAAGTGACCCAAAGGACTTAGTCATCTTTGATCATATTAACTTTTGTATAATTATAAACTATATTAAAGCATATGTCACATTAAAATGTTATGTGAATGATTCATATTTATGTGTGACTCTGTAAGGCTTAAATACTCAATTAGAAAGCTCTCAAAGATTTTAAGACCCTAAAGCACCCCAAGGGAGGCTGTAAGTCTTCTCGTGTTCTCACAGACAGGACAGAAAGGCACCGCTCTAAGGCAGCTGAGTACGGTTCCATAAAAGGTGGACCGCAGTCTCACAAGTACACCACTTTATTTAGGTGAAAGTAGGAGGAAAGAAAAAATGCTCAAAAACGTATTCTCATTATACTTTTCCAACTCTAGAAAATAAAACATTTTCCCATACTGCGCTTTTGCAGAGTTCACCTTGTTTTGGAAGACACAAGTGAAAACATATTAGTAGTGATGTTACTTATACGCTACTTTTTTCAAATGTAAAACAATGAACATTCACTTAGGAGCTTACATTCATTGAAGCATTGATTTTGGCAATAGTTTCATCATCTGTTGGGAACTGGTATATCTGAACACCGTTGCTGACCAGTTCACTCATGAGCTTGATCTTAAACTTCTGTAATTCAGTTTTAGAAATTGCATCTGCTTTGGCAATCACTGGTATAATGTTCACCTATTAAGAATAAAGAAAAACAAAAATCTCATGATTGAGGACTTATTTTTTAATCCTGTAGTTTTTTCATTCAAAGCCACTCAGTCTCTGACAGATCTCCCTGACCTGGATCAGGGGATGGGCAAACCACGGTCCGCTCACTGCGTATTTATATAAACTAAGATTTACTGGAACACAGGCTCACTCACACATGTCACATACTGCCCATGGCCACTTTCACTCCGTAACAGCAGAATCAGCGGTTACATCAGAGGCCCATGGCCTGTGAGGCCTGCAGCATTCACTACCTGACCCTTCACAGGAAAAGCTTGCCGACTCCTGAGGTAGAATCACTGGCTTCATTCTTACCAACATGGCGTCGAAAGGAGGAAATTTTACAAATACCAAGGGAGAGTGTTCATGGCTCAAAGGAGTAACTTTCTTAGCATTATTTGAAAGTTCTATCGCTGGCCAGAGAAGAAGGGATCTGGGGTCATGAAGGACAACTAACCTGCAAAGCTAGTTCTATGAGATTAATGCCCAACCAAAGATTGGTGTCTCCACAAACTCATCTGTAGGGTTTTTGTTTTTTGGTTATTTATTAGTTTGTTTTTAGTAAAAAGTCATGTCAAGAGAGTGAGCTATCAATGTAATTTCCAGAATGAAAGTGAAAACCAGAAATCAGAATTCCGACTCTATTCTTAAATATCTTTTTTTCTCCAAGTTCACACTGATTTGCTGTGTTTATTTGGATTTATTAGTCTTAAGTATGTTCCAAAGGAGATAAAGGTTTTTCCAACTATCTACTTTTCAGCAACTGTGGGTAAACAGCTTTCACATTAAATTAGTCAAAATACATAAAAACTTGCTGCCGAGTTCTTGATTTCTGTATCCCACACTCAGACGTTCAGAAAGTTCAGTAACAGCTCATAACTGATTCCAAGTCAGCAGCAGCAGCAGGCGGTGTAAGCACTGGAGACTGAGCTTCACCTGCAGAGGCATCTGCTTCCGTGACATCCCTCCTGCACGAGCGCACCGCAGCTGGAGGACACAGCTGCCAGCTCAGTCAGGCAGGGAACCAGGCAGCCCCACCCTGGGGGCCCCCCTTGCAGACAGCCTACATGACCAAGCCGGCAGTGACCCGCTTCTCCCTTCCCATGCCCCAGTTCCCACTCTGGTTGGTGCTTTACATTTGCCAACAAAGACTGAAACCCCAGAGGGCCCCCTCCAACCCTGATCCAGGCAGAGCCCAGTTTCGAACACCCCTCCTCCCTCCCTTCTCCCCTCCACCCGCTGTGTGGCCCCAAGTATGCTGTGTACCCTCCAGGACCCGTGAGGAACAATCTTTGCTTCTCAAAGCCCCCTGATGCTTGTTGCTGGATGCGTCCCGGGATCTTAAGGACCAGGGAGGCTGGCTCAGCTGCGACCGTGGCCCTGGTGGTCAGGGAGGGCGTGTGGGGCTTGTGGTGAGTAAACACAGGCACGGACCACCTCGCATCCCCAGCCAAGCATGTTACCATCAGTGGGCGGGAGGATACCACAGACTGAATGCTGAGTGTGAGGGTCATTTAAGCATCGGGGCGGGGACGTTTCTGGTGTCCCCGCTGATGGGTGACCTCCACATGGAGCAGTGGAGTGTTCAAGAAGAAGACAAACTATCATTTTAATACATCCTCACACCTGCCCTTGGGTAGGTACTCTCCTGGTTTTTATTTTAGAGGTGAGGAAAAAGGCTCGGAAGGGTAAGGAAACTTGCCAAGAATACAGGGCGCTTAAGGAACAGAGATGGCCTCCAGCAACACCAGATAGACTGCACTGTGTTGCCTCTGTCTCCCGGAGACAAAGCTGCACACTCCTGTGTTTACGTTCCCCTAGTGAGTTTGGATTTCCGTGTAATTAGACGCAACTATGACAGTAACCAGCTAAATGGCCAGACCATCAGGTGAGTACACACAAGCTTCATCAAGGTTTCAGGGAATCAGCCTCTGCGCCAAGGCCATCCCAGCTGGCCCTCTGCCTCCACACGACTTCTACACAGAATCCTGTCTCACAGGACACTCAGCCGGGATTCTGGAGGTCACAGGGCAACCCTCAAGATTTTTTTAGTATAAGACAGTAGTCTTTATCTTTCATACAAATAAAAAAATCTAAAGTGAGTTAATTTGTGGATACTATTTTTTTAAATAGCTCCCCGAATTTATATATAGCTTGTTGGCTCAGAAATTCATAAACAGGTTTTCTGGATATGGTTCAAATTAAAACATAATTTACTATAATATATGATGACACATTAGACCTTGATCTTCATCAGTGAACTTCTTCTCAATAGTGTCATAAAGTAAAATTTTTATCAAATAAATTCTGTATCTAAGAAAATGAACATGAATACCCATACTCTGGCGTGCAATTTAATCACTAAAAAAGGACTGAAATTTTATGTTAATGATTTTTCTTTGCATCTCATCTCTCAAACTCAGTTTCTCTGGAACATAAGCCAAAGTTGAAACATCAAATGTTTCAAAAGTGCACAGAATAAACCAGCTATGATACACGTATAGACCAGAAAGGCACTTAATAGCTGAGAGTAAACGCTGAGCATGAGGAGCCGCCCCTTCCCAAGCCTACCTTGCTGTCAAGGCTCTTCATGGTCAGGAGATCCAGGGTCTTGAGGGAGTGGCCCGTCGGCGAGATGAAGTACAGGCACACGTGGATGCGGGAGTCATGGTAGTTAAACAGAGAGCGCTTAATCTTCAGTTCTTCTTGGAGATAGGCCTCAAACTGAGCATCTATGTAGTCAACTATCGGTTGGTAGCTGGAAAAAAATTATTAAATATTTGATACAATGTATTCATGACTCCTTAACGAAGTATTTGCTTAAATCTGAGTCTGAGATCTCTATTTTCAGCAATGAACAAACCATTGATATCTACGCTAAACAGGTAACTTCAGTAACAAAACATACTGTGCAGAATGCACAGGTACAAAGGCAGTTACTCTGAAACCATCAAGACAACTGAGCTTTAAATCACGTTACAGAAACGACACTGAACGTACACTGACTGCCCCTCACACTCATCCTCACGCTGGGTCCCTGCCGGCAGGGGTCCCCACCTCCCTCAGACTCTGAAGGAGGACAGGCAGGTTTCCAGCTGCGGCCAAACTGGAGAGAGAAAAGGCATGAGAATCAACAACTCACAAGACATTAAGGTCAAATTCCATGACCGCCTGCTTCTTCAATCAGTTGTGTGGGGCACGGACTGCCCTAAGGTCGTGAGGAGAGAAGGCACACGCAGCTGGTGAGGCAGGCGACTCTCCTCACTCACTGACGAGCGCAGGAAGCACATGGCACACCACACCTGGCACACAGCGCCCTTGCCCGGCTCCATCCTGCCTGGCTCGCCTGCCCCATGGCTGCTCCACACTCATCCTCTAAGATGCACTCACCTCACAGTGCACACAGGGCCGCATAGAGTCTGTGAGCCGTCCACTTTACCTCAACTTGCTACGCTTAACCATTCTCATCAGGCACATCTGGGTTTCCAAGCGAGAAAAGCAGCAGAGATCCTCTGTCAAATCCCTGGACCGTGTACACCTGTGTACGTGCAAGCCCCAAATGGAGAAGCACCTGTGCAGCTGAGGTGCTAACAAAGGGGTGCTCGGGGCACGCCAGCCTCCTGGTCCTCGAGGGCTGTCACCTCCTTCCTCCACACTCACAGTCCCTGCTGTCCCCACACAGACGGCACGCATGTGAGGACACACTGTCTCACACTTCCGTGCCCTCCACAGCAACCAGCGTACCGCCAGCACACCAGATGCACGATCAGGAACACCGTCCTAGGGAAACTGGCCTAAATGTGACCCAACACGGCTCCCTCCACAGAACAATGAAACAGTAAATACTAATCTGTAAGTACATATTTGTCGTAAAATTTCCAAAGATTTTATTACTGACCTAAAATAGATCATTAATAAACAGCCATAAATGTTCCTCTGTCTAAATGCTTTGCTTAACGCTTGTCATAAATGAAAACCCTTTTTTGTTAAGTAAGCGCTGCACCACTAGGCACTCTGCACCAGAAACCCCAGCTGCCGTGTCCAGTACAGGCAGACTCTCTTCAGTGAAGTGAAAGACACTGGCTTAAAACATAAAAATCACCTCCTTTTTCAAAGTGCTCATGAAGGGAAAGGAGGTAACCAGGTCGACAGTGAGGAGAGCAGAAGCAGGAAGGTGAGCAGAGGACCAGAGCCAGCTCGGCAAATGGGCCAAAGGCAGCCGTGCGCTGCTCTGGTGGGTAAAAAGCTGAACTCTGTGAAGCACAGCCATGCTCCTTTCTTATTCACTGTCTGTGGCTGCTTTTGTGCTACAAGCAGAGCAGTTTGGACAGAGGCCATGTGCTGTAAAGCTTGAGACAGTCTCACTCTGGCCTTTACAGAAAGAGTGTACCAGCCCCTGCTCTACAAGCACCTGTGCTAGTTTCATCCTGAGGCCAATTTGTCAGTGTGCATCTTGGGCTTTGCTTCCAAAGGATTCATGGGACACAGGGAGGAAAGCAAAGTCCAGGCCTGCACAGGTGGGCCTCTGTCGAGAGACTGCCTCCCCACGCTGCACTGAGGGGCTAAGAGTCCACACCCTCAGTGTGGGATGAGCCACAGGTAACCTGTGGTTCCTCCCCTCTCCCCAAGGATCTGAGCAAGGTTGCCCTGGCACTAAAGGAAGTCGGCAAAATACACGGAAAGGGAAAACCATCCTCGAGAACTTGTGGACACAGGGTCAGCCCTCACACACATCTGCGGCCCAGGTTCACGTGGCCTCTGATTCTGGGACCCTCAAGCCATGAAACAGGATCCTAAGTATTAATGCCCAGAGGGGCCTAATGTAAGCAAATCCAAATCTGCAAATTTGTATCTTTGCAAATAATTTTTCAAAGACTGTGAGAACTAGGATTAAAAAATAACCAAGCACATAGGAAAAAAAGCATACAGAATGAGAACCAAAGGAAAAAACAAATATTAGTACAATAACTGCAAAATTTCAATGTACCTGAATTATAAAATATAGTTACAAAAAGAGACAAAAGAAATAAATACAAAAGGCGAACTTGAATGTATGTGCTGGGAATAGTAAAGTAATAAAAAGTGATCCTACAGATATGAATACGAACCACACAGGATGCACAGACTTGAAAACTACAATAACCAGAATGAAAAATTCATGGATTAGTTTAACAGTATGTTAGACACAGCTAAAAAGAGAATTAGTATACTGGAGGATAAATCAAAACTAATTATCTAGAAAGCAAATGAAAGAAAGAAAAAACAGATAAAACTACGGAAGAGAGATTAAGAGTAAGAGACACAGAAGACATAACGAGAGGGGCTAACACGTCACCAAGTTCAGAGCAAAGGGGCAGGAATCGTATCTGAAGACATGAAGTCTCAGATTTTTCAAAAGAATTGATGACTCAGACTCAAGCAGGATAAATTATAAATAAATAAAAACCCAGATGTATCATGGTAAAACCGAGAACAACAAAAACAAAGATCTTAAAAAGCACTGAAGGAAAAACAGGAGGGTATTTTCTTAAGGGGGAAACAGACTGACAGCTGCCTTCTCAGTAGTGAAAGCAGAAGCCAGGAGATAGTGGAATGGTCTCTTCAACGGAGGTCAAGAAAATAACCGTCCACCCAGAACTGTATACCCAACTACAAGTATGAGAGTCAAGCAGGACATTTTGATTAAAAGAGTAGTAAATAGTGGCCACATGAAATGATAATGTCTTGTGCAGTTAAGAAAAGAAGAGAAAACATAAGTTGGGGGCAGGGGAGGTTAATGGAGTTTAACTGTTCAAAATTCCATTTTATTGTCTATTTGTATCATCAAGGACAAGTACAAATAATAATTAATCTTAAACTTTGATTAGGTTAGAGATTATGTTTTATAATTTCTAGAGTAACAACTTTAAGAATAGATATCAAGCCCCTAAAAGGTCCACAAAAAAGCTACTAGAGCTGATCGAAGAATTCAGCAAGGTAGCAGGTTACAAAATTAATGTTCAAAAGTCAGTTGCCTTTCTTTACACTAACGATAAATCAACAGAAAAAGAAAGTAAAGAAACAATCCCCTTAAAATAGCACCCAAAGTAATAAAATATCTGGGAATAAATCTAACCAAGGAGGTGAAAGAATTATACACAGAAAACTAATAGAACCAATTGATGAA